CCTGCCCAAACGAACCACACCAAGAGGGAAAATGAACTCTTGTGCCATTTCAACCGAACTAAATAAGGCAGGTGTGAAAGCACCCTAGGAAACGGGTTGTCTTTTCACTGGCTACAGAACCACCCGACATTACTGAATACTTTTCATCTTTCCCAACAGTGTTAATGCAGAAGCATCAAACATGCCATAGTTAATTGTGGACGTTGCGTTTCTGTTGATGTCCTTTGGCTTTTTAAACCTACATTCAAGTCAGGGTTATTTGTATAGGCCTTTTCACAATAATTATCGTTTCAAAGCAGCTTTTATTAGTTACTAATAACTTTTACATATTAACTAGTACCTAATATTTTTAACAGTTAAAGTTATTATTTGGTTAACCTGGAGTTATATACTATAGTTTATGTCTATGGTCAATGAAGTGTACTTATGGCGTACTCGCACTATGTATAGTTGCCTCGAACCGGGCCAAAGCACGCTTGTCTCCCCTGACAGCCCACAATCACATTACATTTGGGCCCGGGCAACCTTACGTCATCGATGCTGCGCTGTTCAGTAAGCACTCTCGCTCAGCACAGTGGAGATTTCTCTAGTTATATCGCTTTAGTCCTTAGGGATGCGGTGACACGCAGTCAGATATTTCGTTGAACAGATCAGCCACTTTTGGCACTCATAAACAATCATAAAGCCCTTGTGCTGCAGCAATTAAGAGGTTTGCTGAAGGTGCGCAGCTGTCGTGCAGTGAGGGGTTTGCGTATTCAATAAACTAAGGCAGTTTGCGTTCACTGAACAGTAAGAATGATGAAAAGTACCTTAAAAGTCACTTCTCTCTTTCAGTTTCGGGCTTTGGCACGTTTTGCACTCACACACAAGCGTACCACGCCAAAGCCCAAGCGAACCGCGCTCCAACCGGGCCAGAGCCAGCCAAGTGAACTGTGCTTGAGCCCGATTCAGCGCACTCACACTTTTTCAAACGATCCGGGAAACGCGCCTGGGCACGGTACGGATAGCATAGTGCGAGTAGGCCCTAATTGTAAGTGTTGTCCTTTAAGTTTTGCAGCTTGTCGTAGTTTGTTTACATGGAAATTACAAATGAGAATAACAAGCCAATTTACCCATGCATTTAGCTGCTGTTTCAGAATATTCAAGCAGTCAGGCAGTTTCTATTTGTCTTGTTGTTAGCAGTTACCCTGCTCCCTGCAGTTTCTTATTTGTAAACCAGCAATTTTTTTTATTTTTTTGACTATTTACTGTACAACAATTGATTTTGAAACTAGGCTCTATCTCTGGATGAGCTCTTAAACTGCCTTGGTGGAAAATTGAGCCACAAGTTCAAGCCTCAATGTGTCTCTAGTTTATTTGGACTTCTAGTGGATGTGTTTGGGGACGAGAGGTTTTAAAACTGATTTGAGGTCATTGTGTTTTATTGTGCACAGAACTCTAGGGACTTTCTCCAAGCAGACTGCTGACAAATACATCTACTATAGTGTTTTCTCATGGGGTTCAAGCCAAGAAAAGCTGGCTATTTTCTACTTTGCTCTATTCTGTGTGGCTCTTGTCTCTGGCTCTCTCTCTCTCTTTCTTTCTGAGTCTTGGAAAATGGTCGCTGAGTGGATTTCCGGTTCCTGACAGACGCTTACACACTCCATCTCTCTATCCCTTAATCTCTCACTGTTGACTTCCTGTCTTTGTGTCGGCCAATCTTAAACTAACTGCAACACATATACACAGACACACACACACTCACTTGTACGGCTATCTTTATGGGGACGTCTCATAGACATAATGATTGTTTTTATGCTGTGCAGACTGTATATTTTTATGCCCTTACTCCAACCCTATCCCTAAACCCAACCACCACATGAAACAATCTGCATTTTTTTAAATATTTAAATGCTTATGTTATTTTTTATTTTTTAAATGAGCTTTTTTCCTTATGGGGACGAAAAAATGTCCCCACAAGGTCAAAATGTACTAGTATCGCTATATAACATATGGGTTACAATGGGCTACATGTACAGCTATCTTTATGGGGGCTTCCCATAGGTGTAATGATTTTTTTACTGTACAAGATTGCATTTTCTATCCTCCTACCTCTAAACCCAACTCTCACAGGAAATGATAATGTGAGAAATGCAAGGTACACACATTCGCCATCAACGGCTCCTGTCTTCTGAGTGTTTGTGCAGCTTGCCATTGCTCGCGTCCATCTGTGTGTTTGTCTTTCCATACCACTGTGTGTGTAACTTTATGGATCAAACTCACTTCCTTTGAGCAACAGGAAAGCAACTCTAAAAGGTTATCTTTGTCCCAAAAGAGCCAAATCTTCCCAAATAACAGCTGTTGAGATTGACTTTAGCGTGACTGGATGGTGTTCTTTGATTGATTGTTGTCTACATGGCACCTCTGATGTACAACTTTTCCTTAAATGGTCCTCAAAGAGCACATTATCTATATTCACTACAGTAGCCTATAATCATATTTCCATTTAAGTGTTTTTCCAAAAAGTCTTGTCACGTTAGGTCTTGTGGATCTCTCTGCTTGAGCGGTGGTAACTGTAGCTTTCACAGACTCTTATTAGTTAAGATGTGGTCTTGAAATAGTAATTCATTCCCTCTTCCAACTGGAAAAAACAGGTTGTACGGGTTTTACATGATGTTTTGAAAGACTTATTGATTGTCTAAGTTGGTCTACAGTCAGTTTGGACCACCAACAAAATCAAATTCAGAGTGGTTGGTCAATATTTCTGCAAAATTCTGTTTAAATATAAACTTTCAGAATTTTTTAAATGAATATTGCTGAAATTTTACGTTTGCTTTGTTCACATTTACAGTGCAATGTGAATTTGGTTATTTTAATTATTTATTTTTATAAATATTTTTAGGGGTTTTTCACCTTTTATTGGACATGACAGTGGAGATTATAAGTAGGAAAGTGTGGGGAACAGAGAGAAGGGAAGAACTGGAAAAGAACCTCAAGCCAGGACTTGCTGTGTTGCTGTGAACAACTCTGTGCTAATATGTCGGCACACTGGCCTATTGGCGCTGACTGCTCTAATTTTTATTTTTTATTTTTTGTGCAGAATCCATTTTTTCCCTTCCATATTCCATACTTATATTTGATTATTTTATTTTTCTGGATCCTGTTTTAATAGAAAATAATTAAACAAGATTTTTATCCTAAAATGTTATTTATACTTAAACCGTTTAACAACTGTGATTCTTCTATGAATGTTGTTTTCTGTTGAATTACATTTTAATCCTCACTGAAAAAAGTGTTGCATTCAGAACTGTTGCAAACTATTTATTTTTGTTGAATTTAAACAAACAAATTAAGTTTAATAATTTTCAACCTAATTTGTTTTTTTAAATTCCGCCCAAATAAATTGTTTACAGCCACTTAATGTAATAAAAAAAATTGTAAATTCAAGGAATCAACTTTGAATTGTTTTTTTCAGTGCTGTTAAAATTACTAGGGATACACCGATCCCAATACTTAGATCGGATTTCAGTTTGATACCGCATATTTTTGCTGGATCAGGTATCGGCCAGCTGGTACTGATCCAAATCTAATCTTGTACGTCCTCTGTATTATATGTAATTTATAAGCCAACAAAAGCCATGAAGGTAGCCCATCATAAGGCACTAGAAAGTTGTCATGTAGGCCTACTATATCCCAAATGTTCTTTCTATAGCCATTCTATAGTTTAATGTGAAGTGCAGATAAATGTTCACATGGTTAAATTCATGTTTACTTTAGCGCTTCCCTCCGCTGTTTCTGTCAGTCGTTCTCCATTCATTCACAATTCAAGCTGTGTGTCGTCTTCATGACAACTCGAAAAACTTTCTCCAAGACTATTTGTTCCTGTTTAAATTATCAGTGGAGAAACGCATCAAATGGGTTAATTTTGACCTGCAACAAGGAGTTCATTGCTGTTTCTAAATCATGCTGCGCTGTGTCTGGTATCAGATCACATTCGCAAAACTGGAGATGGTTATTACCTGCTCGTCACACACAAAGTAGGCCTAGCTGAAATTTTTAATCAGAAAAGGCTCAATAATACATTGGACAGATTCTCAACGCACTGATTTCTTTCCTTAGTGCTGCTGTTTCGTAAGTGTCTGCAGATACCGGAGGGCTGCGCACTGTGTCTCTGATGCATCAAGCGCTTCATTCACGCACCGCAGATGCAATGTGCGCCGCTCTGTAAAATTATTCTCGCAATGAGTTTCTGTTCTCTCATCCTTTCGATTGAGTCTTCCAAGGGGAAAACTTTCAGTGCTGAGAATGAGTTGGAAAGCCTGGCTTATTGTGGTCAAAGTAGTTGGTGAAATAGTTAAAAGTGAAACTGACAGGCGCAATATGGATTGTCATTAACAGAAAAATTATTTTGCCTTATATAGGTTGCTCTAAATATTTCACTGTAATTTCATTTACATTCATATTTTGTTTAATAGACCAGTTTGTGTTTTGGCACATAAGCTGTTTAAGGAGTTTAAGCAAACATAAGCTGGACCACAACAGATCAGTGTCATAACAAATGCTCAAAAATGTAGCCTAATACAGCAAGCATCCAGTTTTTACTTAGATTGTGTTGTCTGTCATACAGTAGACCTATAGGTCTGTTATTTTTTACTAAAGATGATATATTATTTGAGTTTATCATCAGAACTGTATTATCTTTATTGAAAAAAAAAAAAAAAACATGGCACAATATCGGGATCGGATCTGTATCGGTCGATAATCAGAATTTTGGTATCAGGATCGGATCGGTTCCAAACAAATGGTATCGTTGCATCCCGAAAAATTACTGGGAAAATTGCTCATTCCTCTTCCTGCCATTTAATATTCATTGACTTTGGTCCATGTTGCAATTTGATTAGCTGCACAATACTACTTTTGATTCTTAATCCTAAATTGACCAAATTCTATGACATTCTTTATTACTGTGAATTGATCACATAGTTGCTTCTATAACAAGTCATGTTTCTTGACTCCTCTAGGACTGTCAGAAGAGTGCAAGGTATCAACACCAGCTTTCACAGATGCCCTGCGGCTCTACATGCAGTCCAAGGGTCACTACGGCACCTGGGACCTGATGTGTGGAGACCAGTCGCAGGTTAGTGTACTGCAGGTCATTCACACTCTTTCCTGACAGCTGTCACAGTTAGATCATCCTAGATGCTTTGCATATAAAATTGATTGTTGCCCTGATGGATTCATTTCTATCACATTTAGTATATTTATCAAGTTTTTATTAAGGCTCAGACACTTCTGTGGACTCATGCGAATGAGAATGGAGGAAAGAAAAGTTCAGACAGGATTTATTCAGGTCGAGTTTCCTGTGAACGTCCTGAATTCAGGCTCTATCCTGTGTCCCAGACAGGTGGGAGGACACCCAAACTTGTGCTCAGGTTTGGCTTAAAGGAACAATAATCATTTCACTGAGGTTGTAGAGAATTTGAGGATCTAGGTCAAAAAGCAGGTTACAATTGGGGTGGCCAACCCTGTTCCTGGAGAGCCACCTTCCTGCAGATTTCAGTTGCAACCCATATCAAACACACCTGAACCAATTAATTAGGACCTGAACACCACAAGATAATTACAGGCAGGTGTGTTTGATATGGGGTGCAACTGAAATCTGCAGAAAGGTGGCTCTCCAGGAACAGGGTTGGCCACCCCTGTATTAGTCTTTTCCAGCCTGACTAATTTGGTCTACAAGGTTCAACTTGGCTAACCAGCAAGTAATTAGGTTGATACATCGTCTAGACCAGTGGTTCTCAAACTTTTTCATCAAGTACCACCTCAGAAAAAATTGTTTCTTCTAGTACCACCATTAAAATAAGCAGCATTGAAATACAGTATCATAGTTGGCCCAGATAAGCAACTACAACTCTGCACAGTTAAAAACGTGGCAGATTACCTCTGAAATATAGGCTATATGTCATATATGTCATATATGACATATTAGATACATAATTTTTGATACATTTTTAAATGTGTGTAGCATGTACATGACATTTCATTTCTCCGAGTACCACTAGAAGGAAGCCTGCGTACCACTAGTGGTACACGTACCACAGTTTGAGAACCACTGATCTAGACCATCTGATCCTAAGGCTACTCGATTATGAAAAATCATAATCATTATTAATCAGTCATTCATTTTCTTGTCGGCTTAGTCCCTTTATTAATCTGGGGTCGCCACAGCGGAATGAACCGCCAACTTATCCAGCAAGTTTTTACGCAGCGGATGCCCTTCCAGCCGCAACCCATCTCTGGGAAAATCATTATTATTATTATTATTATTATTATTATTATTATTATTATTATTATTATTATTATTATTTTGATCATTGAAATCAAAAATATTTAAAATGATTATGGAGATGTGTATGTATTCCTTGTAAATACGGTTGCTATTACATTTATACATTTTAAAGATTGAGACATTTCACAATCCTATCACTGAAGTAGAATGGGACAAAATAACTAAAGTAGTTTTCACAATGATAGAAAGGAAAGAAATACAATAGAAAAATATGCAAATGAACCAAGCATCTTCACAGTAAGATGTAAACATGAGCTACAAAAGTTCTTCAGTCGAGAGCATTGAGTGACTTTGTCTTTTATTGTAGTCAGCTACGGGAGTATTGTGTGCTGTCCCCTTAAAGGAACTTGACACCTTTTTTTTTTAAAATGCTAATTTAACAAGAATTCTCAGAGTGTTAAAAAGTTGACTTGAACAGTCAGTACTTAGTTTAGCATTATGATCACCAGCAGGGTGGATTGCTGTAATGGACTCCTCACATCCCAAAAACACAGTCAGACAGTTGCAGCTCATCCAGAACACTGCTGCCAGGATTCTGACCAGAAAATCAGAGCACATCACACCTGTCCTCAGGTCTTTACACTGGCTTCCAGTGTCATTCATAATGGATTTTAAAGCATTGCTACTAGTCTGTAAATCACTAAATGGCCAAGGACCTCATTACATTACAGATATGCTCACTGAATACAAACCTAACAGATCACTCAGATAATTAGGATCAAATATACTAGATATTCCAAGAGTTCATTCAAAGCAGGATGAATTGGCCTTCAGCTACTAAGCCCCCTACTGCTGGAATCAGCTTCCAGAAATGATCAGAAGTGCTCCAACGTTAGGCACATTCAAATCAAGACTGAAAACAAATCTGTTTAGCTGTGCCTTAACTGAATGAGCACTGTGCTACGTTCGACAGATCACACTATTATGTCTGTCCTTTCTTTTTAGTTCCTTTAAAACCTTTTTTGTTAACATTTTAATGTGTTTTAATGATTGTTAATTCTTTTAATCATTTTTTAATCTTTTATTCTTGTTTATGTAACACACTTTTGAGTTATCTTTGTGTATGAAATGTGCTATAAATAAACTTACCTTGCCTAATGAATTAAATTTAATTTATCCATTATCATTCCATTATAATTATTTTTTTTATTCAAATTAATTTGCTTTCTAGTAATATTGGGATAGACAAATAGTAATGTTTCACACTTTATTGGTTTTATTTCAACATGTAACTACAGAAGACTCCAGCATTAAATAGAAACATTTTCAAACATTTTTTTTTTACTTTGAAGTTTATTTATAAACTAATTTAGAGAGGGTCACGTGCTTCTGATTGCTTGAAGCCGGCTCTGCATTATTTAATTTATGATTTACCAATCAGACGATTCCTAAGCCACAATAAATACCCTAAGTTCCATATAACTGAAGAATCCCCCTTCCACCCCTACTTCTCCTTCTTTCCTAGATGGGTGGCATGGTGGCCCAGTGGTTAGCACTGTTGCCTCACAGCAAGAACGTCACTGTTTCTAGTCCTTACCAAGTCAGCCAACGTTTCTGTGTGGAGATTGCACGTTCTCCCTGTGTTCACATAGGTTTCCCTCGGGTTCCCCAGTTTCCTCCCACAGTCCAAAACCATGCATCTTAAGTTAGTTGACTAATCTAAATCAACACAATAGACCTGCTCCTAGTAAGAAGTTATCTCTTAAGGGCAATCACTATCTGTTCTGAAGCTACTACAGCAGGGGAGTTCTCGAGATCTACCTGAGCTCAAACTCCCCTCTCGCCTTGCAAACGGGAGGGAGCCCCGGGCTCGAGGATCTTATGACAGCATGCCAAACAAGCTTTATAATCAATCATCAGCTAAGTGAACTCTTGAATCCATATTTATAACACTTAAACGCTTTTGTACCATTCCTTTAGGACATTTGTATTAAAATAACCCTTTATGACAAACTTGTTCAATTACTGAGGTGGACCAAGTTTTTGAAGTTGAAAGTCGAATGTTAGTATTCTAATATTAGTGACATCATAACATCATATCTTTCTACATGAGCCATTTTCTCCCTTCCAAGCTCATTTAAACTTGCCATAAACGTCAAATACACCGTTTTCCATCTTTCCAGCTGAGCTCAGTGTCTTTTGATGTTGATAAATCAGTCTGATCACTCTGTATTTAAGATGCTGCTGAAGCAGCGCAAACCCTCAATAATGTTTAAACCACAGAGCAGAGAGACTGCTGAGAATGTGTCATTAGAGGGGTGAGTTATGGTCAGCTCTGTGTGCTTTATCCTGCAGTCTCAGTTTAGTCATAACATGCTGGAAATATCCTTGAGTAAAAGATTTGGAAAAGTCCATCTTGTTGACTTACATGGATTTGAAAAAAAAGACAATTAAAAAAGTTAATTAGTGTTCCTTTCTCTTTTTTATATGATATAAATTTGAATTTAAGGTGCTTATTTTATTTTCTAATATTATATTATAGAATTATTTCCTAAATATTTTTACCAAAATGGCAAAATCGTTATTTATGTAGACAGTAATGTAAAAATATTCAAATGTGTCTCAAAGTTTTTAAACTATTTTATTTCAACAACTAAAGTCACACAAATGACAATTTCCCATCTGTCACATCCATTAAAGAAATTTTTCCTCGTAAACTTGTAGAATAAAATAAATAATTCTGTTCCATAAAGAGACCACTTTTATTTACTTTTTTTTTTAATTTAAGCATTATTTCTTTTAAGTTGTGCTTTTTAATCCACACAGTTTCTAAAAAGTATGTTGTGTAGACTGTAAACTTGTAAGTTTTAAGTCGGTTTTCTTTTTCTGATGTATGTTTCAGTATACTGTTAACATATCCACTGGTGAATTTATGTTCAGGCTTTTACTGCAAATGTCACATCCATAACACTGGAATTGTTCCTGCATAATAGCTTTCTGCTTTAAAATACAAAAAATATCTGTATCAGTGAATTATGTAGTAAGTATTTAATTAGCCAGTTGATTGTAATAATAAATTAAAGCCGCATCTTCACGTTAGCTATTGAAATCCCCCATTTTGTACACATTTAGGTTTGGTGTGTCACAAAACATGCAAGGATCAATTAAATTTAACATCACATATAGTGCTTTATAATTGAGGAGATTTTAGGTTTATTACTAATTATGAGACAACATTTTTCTATCCATCCACCCATCCATCCACCTATCCATCCATCCATCTTTCTATCCATCCATATCTCTCTATCCATATTTATTTATTTACTTTTATTCATGTATTTTTAATCTATTTTTGTTCATTTTTATTTATTTATTGTTATTATTTATCTATTTTTATTTATTCTCTTTATTATATTTTAAAATCTTTTTATTATTTATTTATCTATTTTTATTAATTGGTATCTAATTTTATTTATTCTCTTTATTATTTTTTAAAATCTTTTTATTATTTATTTATCTATTTTTATTTATTTGTATCTTTTTATTTATTCTCTTTATTTATTTTTTTATCGTTTTATTATTTATTTATCTATTTTTATTTTTTTATTGTCATCATTATAAGTGTTACATTTCAAAGCTTAGCTAGTAATAATCCAAGGTTTTCCCTTTAGGCACACACATCCACCTTGCTAAGAAATTATTTGTTTTGGAGCTTGCATGCTGTTTTGCTCCATGCCAGAACACACCCAGGAAATGTTTCTAATGAATGAGCTTTTTGTGTGCTTGTGTATGTATAAAGCCAATTAAAGCCTCTGTTTATGAGCCCTTATGCTTCAACCACTAAATAAAGAAGGTATTGACATTCTGTGTGTGCGAGAGACAAGGCCATTCCTCCTCATGCCACCCTCAGCAGTGTAACTGGGCGTCACGGTCAGCCTGGATGTGACACCAGGCTGGAAACGGCCGTGTGGGCTGTTATTACTGCTGGGTGTGGGCCGTCTGTTTTTTGTTTTTCTGTCAGAGGGTCTGTGTGGTGTTTCTGCCCACCTGGCCCCTGTGTAGCCATGGAAACTTGGCTGGTGGAGGGAGGGGGTGAGTGTACTATTTATTATCGGATGACATTTTTAGTGAGGTTTATGGATTAAGGAGGAACTTGCTCACACAAATATCTTTTAAATAATAATATATTTTATTTTTGCTGCACATTGCTCACACCCAATGTGCAAAAACAATTAAAAAAAACTAAATATTTCATTCAAAAACAATGCAAAAGCGATACACACACAAACATTAGTCATTCAACATACCCAGGAGCTATTCAAGAATTAGATAATATAATGATTTTGTTTTTGAAAGGTGTGGTTTAAAAGTGCTTAAAGGGATAGTTCACCCAAAATTGGACATTTTGTCATTTACTCACTCTTCACTTGTCACAAACCTATTTGAGTTTCTTTCTTCTGTTGAACACAAAAGAAGATATTCTGAAGAAAGATGAAAACCACTAACCATTGACCTTCATTGCATTTGTTTTTTTCTTCTGTGGACGTCAGTGGTTACAGGTGTGACAGCTAGCTTTCTTCAAAACATTGATCTCAAAAAATCTTTTAGGTTCAGCAGAAAAAAAGAAACTAGTAATGTTTTGGAACCAATGTAGGGCAAATAAACACATTTCAAGTTTGAAAATTTCATTTTTGGGTGAACTATTCTCTTAATATGTGAACACTTCTGATCATGGATGGAAGTGCATGTCGTAACTAAAGGGCAGAAAAAGAGCTCTGTGACCTTAAGTTTTTAATCTACACTGAGGCTGAGGAAATCAGCACAACCGAGATGAGAAGGGGTAGCTAAATCATAAATAAAAGAAAGGGACAACTCATTATATAGCCTTTTAAGTTGCTATTAGTCAGGGATGTCCAGACTCAGTCCAGGAGGGCCGGTGTCCTGCAAAGTTTAGTTCCAACCCCTATCAGACACAGCTGGCCTAGCTAATCAACCTCTTACTATAGGCAGTCTAGAAACATCCTTGCAGGTGTGTTGAAACAAGTTGGAGCTAAAATCTGCAGGACACCGGCCCTCCAGGACTGAGTTTGCACACCCCTGCTATAAGTTGTTTGACCTCAATGTGTAAATGAACTGCTAGCCAAAACTACAAAAACACACTAATGATATGCTGATTTCGAGGTGTATACGTGCACACCAGGACGCTTTGTGTATGAGCTCTTAAAGGGAAAGTTCACCAAAAATGAACATTAGCTTGATATTTACTCACCCTTAAATCATAAATAAAAGAACAAGACAAATCATTATATAGCCTTATGAGTTGCCACGAGTCGTTTGACCTTAATGTGTAAATGAACTGGAAGCCGATTCAAACTACAAAACACACCAGCAATGGGCAGATTTAAGGGGTGTTTAAGAGCATTAGCTCAGTTCAAAATATTTTGTAGCTGTTTATTGAATTTTACTAATAAAGAAGTGAAAATTTAAGAACGATAATCACATCTTAAGGTGGTTAAATGAATGAATAGGCTTTTAGTAATGAGAATGTTTTGAGTAGCTATCTTTTTGGTTTAATTTTTTTAAGTGCACTCATAGTTTTATAGGTTAGTGTAGATTAGTGTGCAATGTTTTATATTTATCTTAGTCACTTGATAAAATATATATATGTATATGTATATATGTATATTTTATCAAGTAACTAAGATAAATATAAAACATTGCACACTAATCTACATTATATTTATTTATATATATATATATATATATATATATATATATATATATATATATATATACATTTTATTTTTTATTTTATTTTTTTTTTTTTAAGTTACTTTCCCTGGTAAATTAGTTACATTTATAATTTTGTAACTCAGTTACTATTTGTGAGATGTAACAAGTAAAAAACTAATTACTCTTTTAAAGAAATGTGCTCAACACTGCATATAAATGACCTAACCTTATGTGTATTTCATAATCATCTGCTCCAAATGGAAGCATGTAAATACTAAAATACTGTAAGACCCAAAACAGACACCTGAGGAACATCATAACAGATCGGTTATGCTAAACGAACATCATCACAAAGTTATTAATGGTGACATTGTTTAAAACATAAAGTATTGAAAGCAATTGCTAATTTGAGTTCAATTATCCATTCCTCGCATATATTAGTGTGACCCAGAGGTGCTTAGTATTATGTGCATGGTGTGGCTGAATGCTTTATAGGTGACCAGCTAATAAATGTCAGTCATTTCCCCCACTTAATCACTGACAGGTCATAAAAAGCCCCTTCCACTCACTGACCTCGTGACCCCTCTTTTTCTCTCTCCATCAAACACAATTACTTGATATCAGGCAGCGTTAAGCTAGTTGAGCGTTGAGCCAGTGCTAATATTTAGAAAGTAAATGTGTCATGTTTGTGGCGTGTTATTTATGATTGAAATAATAGTCCCATCTCTAAAAACAGAAAGGAGAAGAGCAAACATTCAATAGTTGTTTGTGTTTTGGCTGTCATTGCAGTGAGCATAAACAAAGCAGCCATCTGTGATGGACATTTTGGATATTAACACTAAAATATTCTGCCTTATATTTCAGGTTGTAAGGCCTGATGTCTATAATAGCATGGTTACTGAAGATATGCATGCAAAACTACAAAGCTGTCTGATCAGTTTGTTAGGCAGCATTCAAATGCGGTCATGCCATTTATTCTGTAGATAAAACCTGATATAATTTGTTGCATAACCAATAGTTATTAAATAATGTACTTCTTTTATCTCTATTTGTGCTTTTAGATCCTCGCTAACCTGGTGATGGAGACTTTACACCCGGAACTGAGGAATCAAATTGCACCTCGCCTGAAAGGAAAGCTACAGCAGAGGCAGAAGGACTGGATGCTGGTCAGTTTTCTTATGTAAATTCTGAAGCCGTTATAAAAAGATCTTCTAATCATTTATACAACTATTTGCAAGCCATTTTCATATTTACAGCATGCTTCCTTGGTAATGAGAAATAGATCTGTTCATTTATATTATCCATAAAAAAAAAATTCATACTTTTGAAGCGTATATCTTATACATGTGCCTCTTGTTTTAGGGTCATCAAGATAAATATATTAAAACAATTTCGCATAACTAATTTATTCAATATGCATTCTAAGTGTCTTTAATTTTTAAGTCTACTTAATGTTTCAAATAATGTTTGTGAAAATAAAATCTTAAAATAGGAGTAAAAAATGATGCATCATCATTTATTGTGATTGAACGGAAAAAAAAGACATATTTTGACCAATACCTAATTAAATATGTAAAAGGATAAGTGATCCTATTAAATAATATTTTTAATTTCAAATGCTGAAAATGTGTTGCTGACAAATGGGTAACCTTGTTGTTTGAAGGAAAGTGGTAAAATATAAATGTCTATAATTACATTCATTCATTCATTCATTTTCTTGTCGGCTTAGTCCCTTTATTAATCCGGGGTCGCCACAGCGGAATGAACCGCCAACTTATCCAACAAGTTTTTACACAGTTTTTACCCTCACTGACAAAGTTCCCAAGTTTGTCCCATTCATGAGCTCCTTTGTCCTGTTTTGATTGCTATGCCATCCTAAATTGTGAAAATAACCCATCAAAAAAGGCTTTAAGACCAAGGGGAATCCTCTGTTGGTCCTTGCTTCAGTGTGACTTCAGCTAATTGGTTTTGGCCAATCCAAACGATTATTTTTCATGAGTCCAACATCCAGCTGTGCAAGAAACATATAATTTTACATAAGTAAAGATATCTTTCACTACTGACCTACTGTATTGTTGTAAAATAGAGAGAACATTTTACACGTAACTTTTATTCTAAATCTTGGACCTTATTCTTGAAAGAAAAATGATCAATAAAAAGGTGTGAAGCACCAAAAGAGGCCCATGTTATTTCAGTAATATTTTGGCTTTTGTTTTTATCCATGAATTTTCAAATGTACCTTTTTACAAGAGAGGTTAGAAAATGGTGAAATTCTAAATTATTATTATTAATATTATTATTATTATGTTTTAAATTTTTATTAATCAAAGGGCCAGATTGTGACTGAGGACTCAGTTTGTTATTTGTCTCATAAGTGACAATAGACTACATTTTTTATTTTAAACTTTACCGGATTTATTTTGTGCTATTAATATAGAATGTAATAAATAGTTTTTAAAAAATATGTTTTAATATATATATATATATATATATATATATATATATATATATATATATATATATATATATATATATATATATATATTTTTTTTTTTTTTTTTTTTTTTTTTCATTTCATTATTTATTTATTTTTTTTTTATTAATAATACTTTTATTCCAAATATTTAGGAAATATTTTTGGTATATTAAAAAGTGTGGTTATGATGACCATTTGACAAGCTAATCCAGCAAAAATGTCACTATAATGCAGTTATTAATCTCATAATTAATAGAAAATGATGCAAATAATGGCAAAAAGGTCCACTTTTTGAGAAAAAAGAACCACCCTATTACCAGACTGTCTATAGGCCTGGACCCTCATACAGTTTAAACGTGTAAATATCTCAGAATTTCAGCAACATTATCTTTCCAGCAAGATTGTTACTTTGGTGACTGTCTACAATCTTAAAATTATTCAATACCGGTCAATACATCACACAAACAAAATCATTCAGGTTTGAAAACCTTTAAAACCAATGCACATGATCAGCAAATGCACTGATCGTTTACAGCTGACACATCAAAATGCCTCTTTACTTTATTCAGTGGATGTATCTATATGGACATAAGCTTCCATTTTTTTTTCATGAGGTGTATTTATTGTGTGTTTGTTTACTCGGTCAGATCACAGATGCAGTCTACAGACAGGTGCTGTCACAGACACGAACTCATCACGAAGCTCTGGTTCAAGTATGTGAGGTGGAGCGCCCTCGTCTGGACGCTGCTCTACGCACCGACATGGACCAAATCATCACGTCTAAAGAGCACGTTTCTGGGAAAATCCGTGGTGAGAGAAACAAACTTCATGGATTTTTTCTTTTTTTGGTGATCAACTATTTATTCTTTTTGGATATAAACAAAATTGCATCTGATGTCTCATGTATTCAAAGAGAAGGTGCAACAGAAACATTATGGTTAGCTTGAATAATAATAATAATAGTAATAATAATATAAAATAAAATCTTTATTATTATTAAAGATTTATTGTTATTATTATTAAATATTTATTATATTTTTATTTTATTATTATTATTAAATAAAGATTTTTTATTGAATAAAGATTTATTATTATTATTATTATTATTATTATTATTATTAAATAGATGTATTATTATTATTATTATTATTATTATTATTATTATCATTAAATAAAGATGTGTTGTTGTTGTTGTTGTTGTTGTTATTATTATTATTAAATATTTGTATTATATTATTATTATTATTACATAAATAATTTTTAATGAATACATTTATTATTATTATTATTATTATTATATTATTAAATAAAGATTTTTATTGTATTGTATTTATTGTATTATATTTATTATTATTAATAATAATAAAGATGTATTGATATTTTTATTGAATAAAGATTTATTATTGTTATTATTAAAGATTTATTATTATTATTATTATTATTTAATTAAAATTTTTATTAAATAAAGATTTGTTATTATTATTATTATTATTATTATTATTAAATAAAGATTATCATTATCATTAATATTATTGTTGTTATTATTATTATTATTATTATTATTATTATTATTATTAAATAAAAATATTAATAATAATAATAATAATATATAACTAAAGTTGTTCTATTATACAATCAATAAATCAATTAATGTTTTATTATACAATCATTCCTTAGTTTAGCAAATTGGTGCCAAAAAGTTGCCAAGCATCAATAGTTACAGGTTTGGCCAAAATGGTTTTTTTTTTTTTTTTCTGATAATGTTGCCCTAAAAACAAGACTACAATTGGAAGTATGATTGACCCAATATGTGAAAATTTACTATTTACTTCAAGTGGTTAAACCTGTAACCATTTACATCCATAGCATGAAACAACAAATACTAAGGAAGTCAACGGTTACCGGTTTCCAGCTTTCTTTATTTGATTTAACAGAAGAAAAAAACTCATGAATGTTTGTAACAAATCGAGGGTGAGTAAATTATGACCGGCTTTTCAGACTCGCATTCTTGCAGACAGTCACTGGAATTCAGTCTCATTTGACTTAGTCCGGCTGTAACCAAAAAAAACACCCAGACTGCCGTGCCATAATGTAGGTTTGGCAGGAGCACTACATTTTTCTTGTGTCATTTGTGGCTACGACTGTTCCACCGAAAGCACCCGTAGCACATTTCAAATGTCTTAAAAAATATGGTCTTGGCAGCATATTTTCTGAGTTTTTGTATGAGTCTATATTTAATCTATGTATAAATCACTATTGAGTCCAGCTGTGTGTGTTTGTGATGGCACCATTATAATGAACAATACTGCTTGTATAATAGTGGTTGTTTTGACATGTAAGGCAGGTGCTTTCCCACAATCACCTGTTCACTGATATAAGGGCCCTTTATGTGATCTAGAGTCGTTGTGTTCAGTCTTCAGCTTCATTATTGAGCTTCTTCCAAAGGGTTCTTACTTTTGACACTAATATAAGGAGTGAGACATAACAGAATTAGGCATTAAAGTTCCTTGTCTGTTTGGTTGTTTCTCACAACCACTTAAAGGGATCAATCCTGTCATTATTTACTCACCTTTAACTTGTTTCAAACCTTTGAGTTTTGTTCTTTGATTAAACTAACACAAAAAAAGATATTTTGAAGAATGCTGAACTATTGACTTTCACAGTATTTGTTTCTCCTACTATGGATGTCAATGGTTACAGGTTTTCAGCTTCTTTGAAAATCTTAATTTGTTTTAAAAAATCAAAGGTTTTAAACCACTTGAGGGTGAGTAAATAGTTAATAAATGTTCATTTTTAGGTGAACTATCCCTTTAAGAAAGCAAACTTCACATATTTGAGATGTGAAATTTCACGTGCACTCTAAATATTTCTTATGCAGGTTTGAAGCTTCAGTTTTCATGAACTTAAATGTTATTAACCAATTCTAAGTGCTGCATTATGTCATTTTAAAGGAATTTTGGAGGTCTCGTATGATAGATCTATCCAAAGCCAACATTCATTTTGTCTTAATATACATTGCAGCTCTTTTATCCCAACTCCTCCTTTCTGAGAATGAGAGCGTTGTCAGCTTGTGTTATGATGAAATCCATCAAAGCTTTCTGTAAAGTTTTAAGCTTTAATCATCGGACATTCACTATGCTGGCATAGGAACTGTATGCCAATTACATACACAGTGCCAAAACCCAAACATTATTAAATCAATGCCGGTTTAGAAGGTAGTATATGCTTTGTGGTCAGACTGACTTGCCGTAGATGAGCTTTTCCCAATAGCTCTATTTATGCTCATACATTTTATGAAACAAAATACTGCAATACACCTTTTTCACATTGTGAAGGTTTGTAGTACATTCATACTGACCTATAGATGATGTTTTGCTAATACCTTTATTATACGTTTATAGTAAACAATCAAAGAGAAACCTTGTTATACACCTAAGCATGAGTTTCTCTTTTCTAACCTTTTTTGTAGTTCCTAATGGTCAGACTGACTTACTGCTGATGGCATTTTGTCAGTAGTGGTGTTCCACAGTATACTTATTTAAACTTTTAATTTAAGTTTCTACATTTTTAGCTGCTTTCCTAATTTTTGTAAGCACTCCTAAAAATAAAAATGTTGTGCATAGAATTTTGCATTCACAGAAAAAAACTGCTATGGTACATAGTACATTTAATGTGTACACACATATTGAGCATATCGGTTGTTCTACCTAGGGGTGCCCAAAGTTTTTCTTATGAAGGGCCAAAAACCAAACTTGTTTGAGTCTAGAAGGCCGAAGTTAAATATAGTTGCATTATTTATTTATTATTTTTATTATTATTTTATTTATTTATTTTTAAAATTTAACTTATCATAGTAAAAACAAAAACAATCTCATTTATAACAGAATGGAGTTACGCTAGTTTTTGATTTGCTCACAGATGTCTTCTGCATAGTCTTCTATTCCAGTGTTTTCCAACCCTGTTCCTGACGGCACACCAACAGTATACATTTACAACCTGTTTTCCTATTCAAACACACCTGAATCAAATCATCAAAACATTAGAAGAGACTCAGAAACCTGAAATGAATGGCTCAGATAAGGGAGACATCCAAAATAGGTGTTTGTGTGCCTCTAGGAACAGGGTTGGGAAACACTGCTCTATCCGTCGAGTATTTAAAACAGTATTTAAAAACTCAGATTCATTCATTCATTCATTTTCTTGTCGGCTTAGTCCCTTTATTAATCCAGGGTCGCCACAGCGGAATGAACCGCCAACCTATCCAGCAAGTTTTTACGCAGAGGATGCCCTTCCAGCCGCAACCTATCTCTGGGAAACATCCACACACACATTCACACACACATACTCTACAGACAATTTAGCCTACCCAATTCACCTGTACCGCATGTCTTTGGACTGTGGGGGAAACCGGAGCACCCGGAGGAAACCCACGTGAATGTAGGGAGAACATGCAAACTCCACACAGAAACGCCAACTGAGCCGAGGCTCGACCCAGCGACCTTCTTGCTGTAGAGGCGACAGCACTACCTACTGCGCCACTGCTTCGCCCAACTCAGATTCATTTACTATTCTTCTTATTAAAACATTTAATTTCAGTTTGCTTTTTATAGCCGAGTAATAAAACAAACAAAAAAATGTCACGTCAAATTAGAAGAGACAAGCTCTGTTAAAGGCATTCCCCCCAACCCTCTCCATCATTCTCAGATGTGATGGTGGACAAATGAGGGGGAGCTTGAGCTCCAGCTCCGCCTCCTATAAGCTGACGGCTGCAGCCGGCAATCAAAAAGATTAGCCAAGCACAGGCAGGGGCGGAGTTGACAACGGAGCCATCAAGCCGAACACTTCGGGGCTCAAAGTTGCTGCAGTCATGATGACCGATCACATGGAGAGATCATTTATTGATTTATTTACTGCAATAACAACAAAAGATTTACAGTACAAATAAAACAGAATACAGTCTCTACAAACTATTGTTCATTTTTAAGCAGTAAATGAATTATGAATTTAATTTAAGTAGCCTATATAACAAATGCATGAGAAATAAGGGGAAAACAAGAAACACAAATTCTAAAACATTTTAATATATTTTTGAAATATTTTAAAATTATTTAAAAAATATTTTATAATTATATTTTTTATAGTTAATAAAATATTTTTTTAACTTTAATTTAAGAAACTTTTTTAGGAGTGTCAGGATCATTGATGATAATCAAAAGATGATACTGCAGTCAAATATTTGTAGTCTTTTAATAAACATGATGTGTACAAGAGAGCGAGGGTATAAAAAGCTAATTGTTTGTTTAAAATTTGTGAGACTGAATTTGTCCATTAATAAACCCGAAACACACGTGGTTTTTGTCATGCGGTGAGCTCGGCCAATCGTGTAAAATCAGTGCCATCATCGCAGCACCTGCTCTTTAGATGCTGCAGCGGCTGAATACTTTGATACCACATGTGACAGTCACGTGGCGTCTAGCGTCTAGCATTTTAAGACCGATTTCGATCAGTCTGCGCAGCGCTGCATGAAGTCAAACACAACTAATGTGCACCCCTAGCGTTCCCCTAACCCCGACCCTCAGTGATATCACTGGTAGAAGAGCTAGGAGGAGCTGGAGCTCAGCTCTGCCCATGTGGCTCTGCAGTGAGTAACACTTGAATCAAAAGGTTACAGTGGGCCAACTTTAACCCAAAGGCGCTACTTTGGACATCTCTGGTTTTACCATAAAGGAAGTCCTGTTCTAACATTTGTCCAATCCTCTGCTTGAAGCTTTGGTGTTGCCCCGCATTGAACAGTTTGTGAGGAGCAAGATTCAGCCCTACATCCACTCCATCCTGGAGGCCCTCATGGAGCCCACGAGCAGAGGATTTGCTGAAGTGAGGGACATCCTCTTCCGAGAGCTGGTGGAGGTCAGCAAGAACACAATGAACGACAGCAGCAAAGACAAACTGGGAGAGGTAAAAAAAACAACAACACAGGACATCATATAGAATATACCTCCTAAACAGATTTTTTTACTACCTTAAAAGATTAGTTCATCCAAAAATAAAAAACTTTTGTTATTACTCGCATTTATGTTGTTTTAGTTTCCATGAGATCTTTGTTTATCTTCTGGGGCCGGTTTTTCAAATGGTTTAATCCGGATAAAATTGATCCGGATTTAGTAATCCTGTTTTTGCGATCCGTGATCACGTAATCCAGCTCACTTTTTGAGCCAGTTTTTCAAAGCAACATTGGATTGGATCAATCTGATCCGGATAGGAACTTTTCAGGATCACTAAATCTGGATTACCAGTGCTCAGTGTAAATGGATAGATAGGCCTATGTAAAGAGCAACAAGTAGAATAGCCAGTGTGGGGTCAATATATCTTTATTTTTATTTGAAATGAAAACACACACATTAAAAAAAAAAAAAAAAAACTAAAAACAATAAAACCCCCACCCCATCCTCTTCCAGCAGTCCGCTCATCTGAGACCTCAACACAAACACTGTACATTGAGGTATTTATAATAAGTTTTTAAATATAGATGTAAATAAAAAAAAGACTTAATGTCAAAAACTCCACAATAAGTTCAAACTTCCTCATCTGATGTGGAGAGAGCAGCTTGTCTGAGCAAAGCCTTTAGGGGGCGAATCTCAAGTCAGGCCTTGGTTTGCTGCAGTGTGGTCAGAGTCGGTTGTTCCTCTGCCAGATGAAGCTGTGCTTCTGCCCAGTCTCTTTTTGCAATTGTTAAATGTGATTTCAAAAATCAGTGATTGCCATTCCTTGCTTTTTTTGTTGTTGTTATTCTGTAATCATTGTATGCATCACTAATAAATATTCTAAAAATAAAAATATTTTCCATTGTGATGAATATATATATATATATATATATATCAATTAGAGACAGAATAAAATGTATTGTTTTTGGTCAATTTTGACAGCTGTTTGAGGGATTATTTTATGAGGCCAAGCAATTTCTACTTTGCTATAGGCCTATACTGAAAGGCTGAATACGTTAAAGCCAATAATCACTATAGCCTGACAGATGAACAAATATAATTAAAACCTTATGAATAAACAGTATATCTCGTAAGATACTGCATGATCCAAAAATAGTGTTATTTAATACATTTTTAAAGTTTCCATTACATTTTGGGCAAGAAATCCACACTAAATCCACCCTTCTGATGGGATCAGTTTAATCCAGGTTTTTTGGATCAATGTGATCCAAATCCTACAAAAAAGGTCTGAAAAACCCAAAGTAAAGGTTCAATCCGGATCAAAACCAAGATTAGATTACGTGATCTAATCCAATTATGTAATCCGTTTTTTTCTTTTGAAAAACCCATTTTCAAGATTTGATCCAATCCCTTATCCAAAATCCTAGTGGATTACATTTAAAAAAACGAGCCCTGGATATAAGTGTAGACTTTTTTTATTAAATCCAACAGCTAACCCTCCATTGACCGCAGTGTGCAGAAACCCAACCAAAAACATTATCAGAACATTTTCATAAGAGCTAATGCAGCTATTGAAAACTAATAGGCTTCATTCCATTTGATTTTGTTTTTAGCCACACAAAAAAACCAGCTTGTTATGCTGCTTTATGTTGCAAACTAGTATTTTCATATATTTATATAAGCACGCTTCTTTGTGGACCAAGTACTTTGAACTGGAAGTATTAAAACAATGGCAGAGATCACACTGCAGAATAAGTTCAATAGGCAAACAAAAGCATATTTACTTGTTTTTTTTTTTTTTGCAAGTGTTTGACTGCAAACAAAAGCACATTAAAGCTTTGAGCAGTAATTCAAACCCGCTGCCATCTGTTTGTACATATAAGATGAGAAATAATTAACTGCCCTTGAAGTTTTCATAAAAATGAGACCGCATATGGATACCTTCACACCCCACAATGAATGAAGGCAAACTGTAAAAGTGATACGTCAAATTCTGTAGGGAACACTGGAAGGCTTTGTGTTGGATGTAATGGCATTTGCAGTTTATCTGTGTATTATAAAATATAAAACAGGATTGTTACTGATGATTCTAAAAGTGACTAACGTAAACGCCTCAATCGTAATATTGTCTTATTCAGAATGAGGTAAAACATGTCCATGTAAATGCAGCCAATGTTAACATATTCAGCTACAATGAATGCTTAATTCATTAACCCCTCTCCACACTCGTTCTAGTATATGGACAAGATTTCAATGCTGGCCTTCCATCCGGTGAAGATGCAGAGTTGCTATGAGAAGATGGAGACGTTGAACCTGGAAGGCCTCCAGCAGAGATGTGACGTCTCCAGCCCTTCAGTGTTCATCCAGAGAGCTCAGATCCTCATGAGACAGGTCTCTGCTCAAACCCACACTCTCATTTTTTCATATCAATCTGAATGACTAAAACATTTTTGCAGTACTTGAAACTTCTGCTTAAAATTTGATTTGATATGTCATTTCATAGCCTTTAATCATTTTCTGGTTCTGAACAACAACAACAACAAAAAAGTGTTCATACATTAAGCATTATGCTAAAGAATATTAAAAATAAATAAATAAATCTGAGCTGCAGTTTGTTGTTGATGAGCGCCACCCTGTGGTGATGCATGTTTTTGCAGGTGTACTGGCAGTTGAGCTCTTTGACATCACAGCAGTAACAATAATGTGTAATAATATGTGCTAAAAATATTACTTTTTTTCAGAGCAAAAAATAATGACGATGATAGTTTCAATATAAAAATAGTTTCTGAATATCAAAAAAATCTTATCAGGCGAATTAAGAAATTATTTGATTAATTCTTGAATGACTCCATTTAAATATAAATTTGTATTCATATATGAAATATATATTTAAAAATATAATATATGATAATAAAATAATAATAACAATAATAAAATATTTATTAAATATATAATTAAATTGTAACAACTAGTGATTTAAATGTTTATACTTTTCCATTGTGCTTCAAACCACTAGGATTTATCCATAGATATATATACACTAGATATTGCATAGGGACCCGAAGCATATGTCAATAGCGCCGCCACATTTGTACAGTGCTCCCAGGATAAATGTCATTCAACCGCACTAGTCAAGACTAAAGCCAATGTGAAGATGCTGAACTTTAGCGCTGTGTGCGCGTGTAATAATGAGCAAACAAAGAAAACAAAGCATAAAGGGAAATGGTTTCTTAGGTGAGATTTCAGTTTTTACATTTTTGTATGTTATAAACTTTTATGCTAACGATTATTAATGATAATACAATCTCTTATTGCACTGACCATAAGGCAAAGTAGCACCAACTCACACTCAATACAAGGCTTAATTATGCTAGTTTTGTTGAAGAAAATTTAGCAATGTGAATGAAATGACAAGACGCTGCGGTGCTAGAAACTTGTATTATTGTCAGCTAAGTGAACGAGTCATTTATAATGGGGATTCATTCACAAACGAATCACTTTCTCTGTCAGAATGAGAAGTTAAGGCAGGAGAGGGGGAGTGTTTCACCTAACAGGTAGGGAGGATAATACAATTCCATGCACACAAACACGCTCTTTGTCTGCAATACCCGTGTGCTCATTTATTCATCAATGTAGAAAAGTGAGGATTTAAAAAAAATATTTGCATACGGACCATCGGTAAAACACCCAATCATAGTTGTGTGTGAGTGCATGCGTGCGTGCGTGTGTGCGTGCGTGCGTGTGTGTGTGTATATATATATATATATATATGGCTTTGGATGGGCAGTCCTCCAGTGTACCTTGGTCCCCACATGTATTTCAAAGCAGGTCTACCCTGTACTAAACGAAAGCTCTATTGACACATTCATTCCGATAAACAACAATAGCGTAGGCGACATCTAATGTAAAAATCTATGGGATTTTTCTATTTGTCGGCAAGAAATTTGAATGATTTCAAGTGTGACATTTTTTATGATATGTTATACAAAATAAATCATTTGATTTCATTTTTTATATGATTGATTTTACACCGTCTTATATTAGAACACTACTTTACCCATATCTGATGTTTTAAAATAATAGTATCACTGTCTTTGTTAATCTCTCACTCACTTTCATTCAGTCTGTCAATGATTCACTGACTGATTCATTGTTACTCGCTCATTGAAGAGTTCATTTATTGATTCATTCACTCTCTCACTGATTTATTAACTTACTTATTCATTTGTTCATTCATTTATTCACTCACTCGAGATCGATTTTTGGTACATATATCTGGGTAATTTATGCAAACAGATTTTTAACTACTCTTATATTTTGGTATACACACTGTAAAAAGTGCAGGCTTCCACACAATTCATTCATGTTGTCCCAACGCAAATCGCTTAAGTTAACCTGTTTTAACACATTCAAGTTGATTGAACATTCAAATAATTAGGTTGTCCCCAAAAATTGCAAGAATATATTTTTTTTTATCTCAGGGTAATCTAAATTTTCGGCATACATTTACACACAGGCTTCTGGAATTTACATATAAAGCACATCTGTTGATGATAGTCTGTCTAAAGCTCCTCTGTTTGTGAATACAGCAAATGGACGACGCCGTGTACACGTTTGAGCAGCTGCTTCATCAGAGTCTAGATGGCCACAGCAGAGAGGATCTGTGCAAGAACATCCAGCGCTGCCAGGACAGAGTGCTCAAAGTCAGTCTGACACACACAGCTCCTGGATCACTGCTTTATTTTGACCCTGTTCTTCACCTTTAATTGCGTTTGTTCTTGACCTGCAGAAATATGACTATGACAGCAGCACGGTGAGGAAGAAGTTCTTCAGGGAGGCTTTGCTTCAGATCATCATACCGTACATGCTGAAACAGCTCTCTCCGTCCTGTTCACCGGTTTGTACATGGAATGAACCTGTTTTTTAGTGATTTAGTTTTTATACATATATATATATATATATATATATATATATTTTTTTTTTTTTTTTTTTTTTTTTTTAATGCCATGCCACACATCACTTTTTTCTGCAGGGTCTTAAAGTCTTCAATTAAAAAAAAAAAAAAACTAAATTTTAGACCCAAAAAGGTCCTATATTCAGTGAAATTTTGAGTCGTAGGTCTTAAATCAATAAAACAGGTCTTAATTTTCCTCTGTCTATGTAGTTTCCCAGTCGGGCTGACCAATCATCAATAATTCATCTCAATAAAACCAATATGGTGTAATTAACGTATTTACAATAACATCTGTTTAAACGTTCTCCTTGTATTTTAGACAAACTGTATAAATTTAGTTTATCATAGTTTTTTTAACTAGTAAATATTTTAACTAGATTTAGCTTGTTTTGACATTTAAAATATCTGGTTAAGAAAACACTAAATTAAAATGGTTTCGATGAGGCATGTTAAAATCTTTTTCATTGGCCCAACCATGCCATTTAGTCCTGTATAAGTCTGCATTTGCTTTATAATGGTCTTAAAAGTCTTAAATTTGACTTGGTGAAACCTCCAGAACCCCTGCCCAGGTTAAAAAAAATTTAAATAAAAAAATTTAAATTTATATATTTTTTAGTAGTTGCATTGGTGATAAATATAATTATTATTTTTTTAAATCTGGTTACAAAAAGCTACTAGCATTAGCAAAAAATATATATAAAAAAAAAAGATAATAATGAGTTTCTACTTCTATAATAATAGTTTTTTTTTTTTTAACCCAATTGTGTTTAGAATAATTATTATTATTTTTGTTTGGAAATTATTTAATATTAATTGCATCTTATTTTCTTTTGCCTTGTCATATTTTGTAAATAACCATTAGTATTTTTAACGTCATGTTGTTATAATTGTTGTTTTTTAATAGTTATTATTACTTTTAACAAGTATTTAATTAGTTTGTTAATATTTTATTTTTAGTCCTGTTTTGAATAATAGTAGTATTTATGATAGTACAACAGAATTTTTTTATGTTTCAGTAAATATGTGTTAGTTGGTTGCTGAGCTTTGTTTGATCACACTCTCCATGCCAGATAAGTAAAATCTAGCCCCAGATGCCAGATCCTGTCAGAAAATGTCTGTGTCTCTGGGTATCCAGACAACAAGCCAGCAGAGCCGTCTAACATCCAAACCTGTTGAACAGTATTCAAAGTGAATTAACAATCTCCTATTGATATAGGAGTTGACTGAGAAAGTCAAAGAGGAGCAGAAGCAGAAGACAAAGTAATGATGCTAAAGAAATAGCAGAGTTAATTGAATAATCTTATGATTTAGTGCAGGATAAATCCAACACGTGCTATTATACCATAATCAACAGCAATGGAAAATTACTGATCAAATCATTAAGTAATAATCAATAAAATGATATAATGCTAATTATATAAATGACTAATGATCCTAGGATTAAAAAAAATAATTAAATGTAAAATAAATGAATATAAACAAATGAAAATAAAACACAACACAAAAAAATGGTTGCTTTCTTGAAGCAACACAAACATAAGTTTGATACAAGGATTCTCAGATCCTTAGATTGTTCAGCTTCTATAGGTAACTGTCTAAAAATATTTATTATAAAGCACTAAAAATGAAGGCGGTGCATTTAACATGACTTTTTAAAAAATCTTTTACACCTAGGATCTGCCCAAGTTCAAGGAGCTCATTTTTGAAGACTTCTCTAGATTCATCCTAGTAGAAAACATCTTTGAGGAGGTGATTCTACAGTCCGTCACCAAAGACATCATGATGGGTGAGCGTCTACAGCCCCTAATAAGACATTTCTGAACCTTAAAGTGTTTCAATGCATTCTTCAATCATTCCGTCCTCCCATTTTGCAGCCGTGAAAGAAGCTGCAGTCCAGCGCAGACACAACCTGTACAGAGACAGCATGGTCCTGACCAACAGTGACCCCAACTTGCACCTGCTGGGAGACGAAACAATCGACTGGGGAGGACAGTTTGGAGGAGTCAAAGGCGAGAAAAAGGGAGAAGCTACCAACAGGAAACGCAAACAAATAGTCTCAATGATAAATATCGACGGGATGCCTTTGCCCTACGAGTCCTGCCAGGAGGTGCCAGGAATAGAAGGCATCCCAGAAGAAAACGAAGGACTGGATGTAGTAGCAGAAACCCCCCTGAAAGTAGTCGAGAAGAAAACAGGCTCTCCAGACAAAGTCAATGAGATCCGACACCTCATAAACCCTGTGCTGGAAGTGGTCGAACCTGCTGAAAAACATGGCTTGCCATTAACCAATGGGGTGTTGGCTTTGGAAGAGAGCGATGAAGTGAAAGGCATCACTGTTGTGACAGAAACAATACCTCTAAAAATGGCGGATGAAGACTCGGAATTAAGAAAAGAGACTCTAGAAGAGCAGCAAAGTGTGTCCGCCATCGAGAGCGCCATTCAGCAGATCGAGATCGCCATCCAGGAAGACCCCGCCATCGACTCTGATGGAGAATTCGCACAAATGTCGACTGACTCCAGCCCTCGTCACCATGATGACAGCGGATTTCAGTCTCCAGCCAATGAGAATGTAGAAGAAGTAGAGTCTCAGCCAATCACAGATGACAAGGAGGTGGACGCAGAGCAGGTGGTGTTAACTTTGGTGGAAACTCCCAGCTCTGATTTAGACACTCGTCGTGATGATGATGATGCTTTGGGAAAGAAACCAGAAGTCGAAATTACAGGTGAAAGATGTTTGCTCTGAGTAAGGCTTGAATGAAAGCCAGACCTCTTTTTTTTCTTTGTTTATGGTTGATATTTCAGCCAAGTTGGCCTTAATTTTAGTTTTTATGTTTTATTTTTTCTTTAATTTAGATATTGAGAAATGTGTATCGTTAAGAAGTGTGTGTGTGTGTGTGTGTGCGTGCGTGCGTGCGTGCGTGCGTGCGTGCGTGCGTGCGTGCGTGCGTGCGTGCGTGCGTGCGTGCGTGCATAAATATATAGAAATATTCTCCATATATAGATTTCTATCACCTTGTGTGCCTTATATTTGTTTGATTTTATGTTACTCATGACTCCCACACTAATGACTATTATGTGGCAGAGGTTTCATAAACTGACTGGGACAGTTCCAGCAGTCATTACTCGGACTGTGGTTTGATCGTAAACCAATACGCTTCACCTCTTTACATCAGCGAGGAGGTTAGTATTAATGCAAATCTGGTAAAACTCTTATTAACAGTGAAGTGGCTGCGTTCGATGATCTCAACTACAGTCATATCTTGTTTTTTTTTAAGTTTCCGTTAATGGTGGACTTTATTCAAACACTAATTCATGTATTTATGCTGCATATTTAAGCACTTATACAAGAACTCTGCAAATGCGTTCAAATAAATTAGAGCTTTCTTTTTAATGCGTGTAGTTTTTACTTTGTGCTTGATGATGAATATTTGAAGTGACCTTTATCTTAATAGTGTCTCTGTGTTTAGGCATTTTACAGGAATGTTCACCCATGAATGAGAGATAATAGGAATATTTCTTCACCCACAGGCCATCTAAGATTAAATGAAAAAGTTAAAGACCATTTTAGAGTCAAAAACTCACATACAAAACAAACACTGATGATACACTGGGGAAAAGATCAACATCATTTGCTAAATGATTACCTTTAATACAGACTCTACAAACAGTCTTCAGTTCTGTTGTAAATAATGTTCACTGTCTTGCATTGAGCAATCGTTTCTCTTCATAAGACTCATTAGGAGTCACAGGCATTCATTTTGTTCTGCCTGTATTTGTATATTTGACTCTGAAAGTGCTGGTAGCTGTTAAGTTGCACTTTATGAATCATTTCATGAACTATTATTAATCAACACAATTAATACACAATTAATAATCGTCTTTAATTCTTATTAAAGAAATAAAATGGTCTAAGAGTCATTAAATTAACATTTTAATTTAAATAACGTGTGTTTATTGCTCACAGACACACTCGTATTGTACATTAATCCTCTTTCCAATTTCCGCAACACCCATAAAATGGTGAAGAATCTGAAGTTGTTAGAATTTATGCCAGCGGATTGAAGTAGGAAAACAGTGAGGAGTTCTACTTCTGATATAATATTATTGCACTCATTTACCTAGTGAAAGCGCAAAAATGGTCCGGTGCAGTTGCTGAAATGCATTTATGTGAGAGAATTTAGTTGCTCTGGAATGTGGATGTGGGATAGTGTTTTTTAAATAGAATGAGGATAAAATGGTTACTTATTCATTACTGGATGTATTTATGTTTGAATGTTTTCTGCTCGTTTATCTAAAAGCAACATCATTTAGCTTCTCACAAATATGTCATCGGTTATCTTTATTTATTTTAAGAGTTTGTTCATTATGATATTTTCTATGGCTTCTGTTGCATTTGTAAGGAAGCAATGGATGAATAAATGACTTTTTGAAATGACGTGCATGTTGTGTAAATTCATTCAAGATGTTTCCATATAATACTACATTTCTGTATTTGTCTTCTGGAGAAAAATTACAATTCTTTTAGTTTGGCTGGAATAAAAGTTGCCAAAGACCTTAAACATATCATTAAAAAAAATTGTTTAGTGTATATATATATATTTATTTATTTTATTTTACTTTTATTTTTTTGTTTAATTATTCATTTTGCATTGAGAGGATTAGGTTGAAATAATATTCATGCAGTAATTTATTATAAAACTTTTTCACTATTAAACACAATGGGATTTCTAAAATGATTATTATTTTATTTATTATTATACTTTTAATTGGTACAGTATTTCTAACTGGAATAGAGACTCTCCCATTTAAATAAAATTTTGAGGAAGCAGATTATCTCCATCTGGTTGAAAACAAAAAAGAAAAGAAAAAGCAGTGTAATGTCAGTGTAAAACACTACAGTAGATGCCTGTATAGCTCTCTATAGAACATACAGAGATTTATTTCGACATAAGCATTTTTTAAGTCATAGGTGGGTGCGTGTGTCAGTTTATTTCAGCCTTTGTTTTAGAGGCTCACAATTTCACTACTGTGAGCTTTTCTTTTGGAGTTTAGATATTGTCAAAACTGTGTATTACACACAGTGGTTCATAGGTGTGCATGTTTGTGTGCATCTCTGTGTTTGTGGGTGTGTTGATATACCACTTTTTTTGTTGAAGAGATCCACCCCTCCACTGCTGTATACTTCTTTTTCTCTCTCTTTCTCAACATTCTGGCTAATTTGTAGATTGTACACACAATTTCCCATTCATTTCCTATGGTCGGTCACTTTTGACTGAATAGGTACTAGTGTGACTTTCTTTTTTTTTCCGAATGGCTAAAGCACAAACTTGTCTATTTATACCTTTAAATGTGCAGTATGTTAGATTGACACCCAGTGGTTGAACTTGGTATTGCATTCCTGGATCAAAACAAACACAAGCGCAGGTTGCCAGATTCAGGAGGAGGAGCGAGTCTCACTGTCAAGCCTAAAGGGTGATTTAGGGCGTACTCGCACTATGCTATCCGAACCGTGCCCAGGCCCGTTTCCTGGATCGTTTGAGAAGTGTGCGCGCTGAATCTGGCTCAGACACGGTTCACTTGGCAGGCCCTGGCCCGGTTGGAAGAGGTGGGCCTGAGCGCGTTTCACTTGGGCTTTGGCATGGTACGCTTGTGTGTGAGTGCAAAAGCCCGAAACTGAAAGTGAGACGTGACTTTTAAGGGATTGTTTTATATGGATTTATTAATCATTCTTACTGTTCAGTGAACGCAAACTGACAAAGTTTATTAAAGACGCAGACCCCTCATGGCCCGTCAAGGGAGACGGAAGGGGGGACAAGCATGCTTTGGCCTAGTTCGAGGCAATTAGTGTTCAATAGCAACGACACCTGAGAGAAGGTTTATTTTCCATATTAAAACGAGTTTTTGCCATTACCAACAACTGGAGTTGATCTATTCAAACGGCTTCAATTTTTTGTTAGAGCTGAACAACAGAAATCTGAATGCCATTTTACTGACATTTATTGCCATACTACTGAAAGCAGCAGCAGATAGTTCACCTCAGATTTCGAAAATAAAATAAACCGTTTAAAATTGAACTTGAGGACTGTGACTCAAAACCAACACATAGTGATTCAGCATCTACATTTAATAATGTTAAAGAGGTTTAATATGTATAGAATAGATTATAAACCTTACCTCATCACTGCAAATCTCGTCACATAGTGTGTTGTTAGGACACGGGTTTACAATGTAACCTGCTCACCTAATGTTTACAATCCTAATATTTATATTATTTGCTTATTAATAACCTCAAGTGTAACTCTGAATCTGCGTCTCATTTCAGAGTCTGCTACAGTCCACGGGAGGTCACATTTAGGTCACGGATGCATGCTTTGAGAGTCTTCCTGACTGAATGAAATATGTGGTTTTCCAACAAGGTAACCCGCAGTGCTGAAATTTAATTTACTAAACTGGCATTGGGTGGGTTAAAAGAACCAAAACAAAGAGAGCGTTCCAGCAAGAAAAAACACATCGTCAATGCAGAATATCTGACTTCAGCATTATTTTCCAGATAAACAAGAATGTTCTCTTGGCATGTTTCTTAAATATCTGCAAACATATTATGGTATTTTTATGCTTTAGAAAAGTCTAACTTACATACAGCACCTTTAATTAGTATGTAAAGCTGAATGCTACTATATTTTTGATCAAAATTAGTTATTGAAATTACTCATTTTAAAAATGCTGAAAAAAAATCTTCACGTAAATGGCACTTGAGAAATATTAAAAAAAATAAATAAATAAAATTTCACAGGAGGGCTAATAATTTTGTCTACAATGTCTAAATACTGGAACTGGAACTAAGTTCACAGAAAAAATAGGAAGTACATGACAGCTTTGGCTGAAATCTAAAATCTGTACAGTGCAACTCATCTCCTCTATACAAAGAAAAAGACAAAAGAATTTAGACCAGATCATTTAATTTGATAAAACCATTTTAAAATGATGACCACTTGCAGTAGAGACCAAACCAACAAAAAACACCTGTGTGTGTGCGTGCGTGCGTGCGTGTGTGTGTGTGTGTGATTTTTATGACTAGCACATTTAAATGCTTGTGGTGAGAATTGCAGGTCTCCAGTTTCTTCTCTCGGTCAGTCAATTAGTTTCAGTGTCTCTGTGTTCCTGCTGAACATTAACTAAGGCCACATGATTTGCATTTCTCTTCTAAACCAATGCTTTTGTTCCACATTCGGCAGTCATTTCCAGCATGACAAGCGTACGCCTGCTGTTAAGTCATGTAAGAAGTTTACTGCGACACTAATATCAAACGTGATGCAATGCAATTTCCCAAAATAACAGCCAGCAGCTAAACATTCATTTGAGTATCTGAAAAGTTAGCTTGTTACTTATATCACAAAATCTAAAACTGTTTTTACGTGTTCAATGTGACCTCAAATTTAAAATCACGTTCAACACCAATCTTAATGTAAGATAATGTGTTCACAATGAGCTTTCAAATACATTTAAAGTCTTTTCAACCAATTGTACAACTGGTTATTGTCAGATTTCAAATAATAAGAGCATCATCTTTAAAAACAACGTTTAGATGTCGTATCTCAATATCATGAGCTCACAAACCTGGCATGGCAAAAATCTAAAACCTTTCTTGTTGCTCTTGAGTCCTCAGTGTTTGGAGATTAACATTTTCCGGCTGTTTTAATTCTTCTCAAGTGTGATTCAGGAGAGGAAAAGCCACAAAGTATCCCAAGACGGAGCCCGTGATGACGCCCAGGAAGATCCAGATGTTGTAGGACATGACGCAGAGCATCAGCATGTAGCCCAGGGTGACCTGGACGATGTGGATTGCGGTCTGGAGGCAGTGCAGGATCCACCTGAACACACAAACGTGGAGCTCTGTTAGCTGTCAATGCTGGAGGTGTGAATCAACTCTAAGGCCACTGTATTAGGTACTGCTGTTAAACTGCTTGTTATTTGAATATCTGATCAGCCAATCACATGATTGTTAACTAATTTAGGAATTTGGGAAGGTCAAACTGAGCATCAGAATAAAGAAAATGTGATTTAACTGACATTCAAAGTGGGATTTTTGTTAATGACATGACGGGGTATTTTAGACACTGCTGATCTACATTACTGGGATTTTCAGGCACGACCATCACACAACAAAAAAGATTTAAATTTCCCCCCCAAAAAAGTACATTAGGATTTTCTTGCAGATTTGAGTTTTCATCCGGAAGTGCTGCTATTATTAATATTAAATATTATTATTATTATTATTATGCAATTTTCAGCAGTTTTAAAGTCAGTATTGAGAGAAACAGCAAAAAATAAAATTACAACTCCCAAAAAAATGTAAAAATGTAGCCAAAGAAATGTGAGAAATTATAAAAGTCAGAATTTAGTTAATTCAGTTTATTACTTTGCATTCTGGCAAAAGTCAATATTTATGTTGTGTAATTTATTTGTAATATTATTTTTAATAATTAAAAAAAATATTATTTAGAATTTATATATATATATATATATATATATATATATATATATATATATATATCATTTATATATGAATTTGGCAATTAAAGAGTTAAAATCCTGTCATCTTGTAAACAATTTAGTAGTTTTGATCAGGACTGAAGTTGATTAACAGATTTATACAAAAAAAAAAGGAAAAAAAATATTAATCTGATGCATTTTTACAGCAGTTTCATTTAGTGGATGTTTTCATCTCGAACATAATAAAAGGGTAGTAAAATTGCCCAGAGTGTATTTTAAAAAAAAAATCAAAACATTTTCTCAAAATATGTGTTAAAATAAAATTTACCACCAAAAATCATTCTTCTAGCTGAAACACAGAAAAAGTTGTGGCCAAATTAAGACTCAAAATTACTCCAGAGTGGATGAAAACCTCCCCAACAGAACATAAGGGTTAAATATGTTAAAATTACTTTTTTTTTTTTTTTGATACGCCTGATCAAAACATTTCTTGGAAAGCCGATGCTCATTTGTGTGTTCTGAATGCCCTGTAAGCATCACCTCCTCCTCTTAGCAGCTGTACTGGAGTCAGCAGCGTTGTCTGTGTTCTCAGTGGGAGTTAATGAGACCTCAGAAGGGCTGTTGGCCAGAGAACTGCTTCCCTCCTGACACTTGATGACAGTGGCAAAACAGGACTGCTTATTTTGAGAGAATGACATTGCAGTGGAGGGACTTGTGTTGGGGGACGACTTCTGTTTCCCAACGGTGATTTTCCACACTTTCAGAAGCTCGTACACCACTGTGAGTAGCAGAACTACAAACACTGACAGCACCATCCCTATAGAAAGAAAAACAACAGCTATCAGTCTTTCATACGTTCAATTAAAAGTGCAAAATCTGGTGGGAAAGTGTTGGCTTTAAACTGCTCAAGCAAAAATGTTTAAGTGTAAATATTGGCCATCAGGTTTATACAGGTAAACTTACTTTAATAGTGGTTAAACTGTAGTAAATCACATAGATTATTTATTTATATACATATATATATATATATATATATATATATATATATATATATATATATATATACATGCATACATACATGCATACATACATGCATGCATACATACATACATACATACATACATACATACATACATACACACATACACACTCACACACACACACACACATATATATGAATGTGTATAAAGAGAGAGAGAGAGAGAGAGTTTTGAGAAGTCAGCTTTATCAGTTTTTCTGGCTATTTGATGGTAAAACCAGATAAAATTTACAACATTTTTTAATATGACTTTTCTATAATAATGATTAAAAAATAACAATAAAAAGACAAATATTTCTAAATGTACTCAAAGACTGAATTAAGTTATCTAATAAATCATTTGAACATTTGTATTCATCTAAATGTTTTGCTGTTTTTCACAACAAGCAGTTCAACTTTTTCCCCACACTAATAATAAATTATGAAGGACAGTTTCACAAAGATAAATCCAATATATTTAAATTATAATAATTCTAGTAATAATCAGGGAACTTTTTGCACAACGTCTGAAATAGTTGCCAGCTTAGTTACTAGGTAACATCAGTGCGTAATATCTTAGCGTCTGCTGCAGCCAGGGAATGGTAGCAAACTTCCTGTATTATGACAGAATGAGAGTATAGTTCTTGGTCATATCGACCTAGATAATAGCAAGTTTTGTTCTGTTAGTCTTAGTACACAATGTAACTAAAGAAGAGTCAAAATTTAAATAGGAAAATTATCAAAACGTATTTTGAGCCAGATGCTCATGGTCTAATCCGATTTATTGATTTGTACTAAGCTAAGCTAAAGATGCTCCTGCCAGACCGGGAGAATGGCTGAATAGATTAAAAAAATCTAGGTGACTTGAGCCTATTTCCAAAACAATTGTGTTGTCCTTTAACACATGAAAAATGACTCTTGTCTGTATTTTCTACAAAAAATGAAAAATAAATAAAAACTGAATGTACTGACCCGATATTCTGATTTGAAGCTAAAGGTGACAATGACACTTTTATGTGAGCCATAACACCTGACAGACTCCCGGAATCTGCAAACGTTTGATTTCTACCCCAGATCGTTAACCACTCCACCAGTCAAAGTACGCTGTAAATTATTACAATATATTGTGTGCCTGATGTTTAAGCGATGTCACTCAAGCAAGACTGCTGCTGTATTGTGATTTGGTTGTGGGCATGAAGCCAAGGTATTCACACAGCAACATGCTCATTTGAATAAAAAGTGTCATATAAAATAATGATGCATTTGTATGGAACAAAATCAATGCCTAAAGTCTTGAATTAAAAAGCTTGTTGAATATCACAAACTGAAAAAAATAATACACCGTATTAACAAGTTCTTGCATTTTAATGACTTGAATTCCAGGGTTTGTATTTTTAGGTCCTGAAATTTAACATATCTGTTTATTTAAGCTTTGAATATTTCAACGAAAAATATTTCAAACACGTTTTCATACTTAAAAATTCAATAATTCATATTCAATTTTCAGATTTCACTTACAAAATATTCAATACCCTTTAAAAATACGATGTATAATATTCAAATGGTAATTTTCAGTTCATTTTATTTCAGTTCAAATATTCGCTTCCATAAATTCAGTGGATCAAATTCGACTGTTAAAATTCAACATTACATCCGGGAACTGCAGGAAAAGCAATAGATTGCAGATTGAAGATCGCCAGCTGCTCTAGCTTTCACCAGCAGGTGGAGATGGAATAATGTAAGATTTTTAACCCAGTAAACAGGCAAGAAAAAGGCTATTAAAGGCACAAAAGTAGCATTTAATATTAATATCAATGCTTTGGACATTATAAATGATAAAAAGTATGAGTAAAATGAGTAAATGAGGTTTTAGTCATCTATATTTGCCCTTATGTAACGGAAGCCAGCTGGTGATCGCGTAAATCTCAGTTCTCGGATCCAGTGACAGACGTTGTTCTGCAATCTTATCGGAGCTTGTCTCCCATGCCAGCTCGCTCCCTGCTCGGACCGGTGCAGTTACTTGCACATAAACCGTCTTTTGATGAATATGATGTTACACATTTTCTATCTTTATTGACTCTTTCTTCCATAGACGCGAAGTATTATATTGAAAGAATATAAACGTAAGAGAAACAGGAGAGGAAATATTATAATAATACAAAATAGATAAACATTGACAGGGCTAAGAACAATTACGAACAAAGATATTCAAAAGCAGAGAGATTTTATGAGAATGTCACACAAAACAGTTTACTTAGAACTGTTAAACAGTGTTCAGGTATGATTTAAGGTTGGTTATGGATGGGGCGTCTGATTTAAAATAATTTAACAAAACGTGCGAATGCATTAAAGGAGCGTCTTCAGTTATTATTTAAACGCAGCTATGTCAGGATTGGGATAGGTTATATAATTCCATTATTTAAATTATGATTGTTAATATTTTATGACATGTATTTGGGCTATTGCGCTTAAATAAGTCATCCTTCTAAATTAATATTTCTATTTATCCTTTTTATCACTCTGCCTGTCTTTCTCTTCTTTTTTTTCTAATTATTGGGGTTCTGCCACGGTTAAACGTTTGCAAAATGTCTTAGTTTGTCCAGAATATTGCTTTTCCTCTAAAATAGAGACGAAGCAGAAGGAAAATGAATGAATTGATGAATGAATGAAATGATTGACGTTTTTTTTGCATGTGTGGTGTGGCTTGCACACGACAAAGTCGAACGAGTGGCCGCGAGCTCCGGTGGCGGGTCAGAGCGCCGCATATCATACTTAAGAGATGCTGGATGGCTGCCAATATATGATAGGAATTCTTACGAAGTTTCAGGTGATATCTGGGCTTGTGCATAATAATGTAAAATAAAAGTGAAAGTCATGACATTTGGCTAATCATAGGAATAGCCTACATAAGTGTTTCGATTATTATCATGACATGTCATGCTTGGGATTATATGAATAACACCTTGCTGTTTACCATTTCCGAAAGTGGAGCTGACGTCGGCGCGAAATTGCTTGTATAATTGTAAAAAGAGTGATGAATATTAATGGATTTCTTATATCTGTCATTTCTGATAATATAATTGATTTAACTAGTGTGAGAGTATCCAACACTCATTTAGCAAAAATGCATCCAGAATCCTAAACCAATAACTTTGTCAAGCAAAAATTATGATTTTATAGGCTACTGATTTTTTTTAAAACAAGAAAAAAGAAACTTAGCTACCCTAGCAATTGTTTATTTAAATATGATCATCTCAAAATATAAAATAAAAACATAATTGTTTGACTTTGTGAAATCATAAAACAGACTTGCCGAAAAGAGTTATTAGAATAAATGAGCAAATACATTCTCTCCAGTAGATGGCGATTACAGCTCAGTAATGATTCCATAATGATGAACAGAGCTGCTTTGCAGGAACCCCTCAACCACGCATGTCAAACCACGCATTCTGAACATTAATCTTATGAAACTAGCTGAAGTGACAACTATATTAAATTTAAACCAGTTTAAATAAGTTTATATGTTTAATAACTGCAAAAAAGATCAACATTGCTAATCATAAAATACAAACGGTTGCTGAAAAGTTATAAATATTGGTTTTCTCATTTAATACTGAAAACAAATTAAAGTCAGTTATAACTGCCTATTATCAAACCACAGGCGACTCATTTTATTACTTATAATTGGCTGCGACATTGCATTTGCGTTAATACATTTTTCTCGCCTATAGGCTACATAACAATAAAACAATATTCTGGACAAACTAAGACATTTTGCAAACGTTTAACCGTGGCAGAACCCCAATAATTAGAAAAAAAAGAAGAGAAAGACAGGCAGAGTGATAAAAAGGATAAATAGAAATATTAATTTAGAAGGATGACTTATTTAAGCGCAATAGCCCAAATACATGTCATAAAATATTAATATTAACAATCATAATTTAAATAATGGAATTATATAACCTATCCCAATCCTGACATAGCTGCGTTTAAATAATAACTGAAGACGCTCCTTTAATGCATTCGCACGTTTTGTTAAATTATTTTAAATCAGACGCCCCATCCATAACCAACCTTAAATCATACCTGAACACTGTTTAACAGTTCTAAGTAAACTGTTTTGTGTGACATTCTCATAAAATCTCTCTGCTTTTGAATATCTTTGTTCGTAATTGTTCTTAGCCCTGTCAATGTTTATCTATTTTGTATTATTATAATATTTCCTCTCCTGTTTCTCTTACGTTTATATTCTTTCAATATAATACTTCGCGTCTATGGAAGAAAGAGTCAATAAAGATAGAAAATGTGTAACATCATATTCATCAAAAGACGGTTTATGTGCAAGTAACTGCACCGGTCCGAGCAGGGAGCGAGCTGGCATGGGAGACAAGCTCCGATAAGATTGCAGAACAACGTCTGTCACTGGATCCGAGAACTGAGATTTACGCGATCACCAGCTGGCTTCCGTTACATAAGGGCAAATATAGATGACTAAAACCTCATTTACTCATTTTACTCATACTTTTTATCATTTATAATGTCCAAAGCATTGATATTAATATTAAATGCTACTTTTGTGCCTTTAATAGCCTTTTTCTTGCCTGTTTACTGGGTTAAAAATCTTACATTATTCCATCTCCACCTGCTGGTGAAAGCTAGAGCAGCTGGCGATCTTCAATCTGCAATCTATTGCTTTTCCTGCAGTTCCCGGATGTAATGTTGAATTTTAACAGTCGAATTTGATCCACTGAATTTATGGAAGCGAATATTTGAACTGAAATAAAATGAACTGAAAATTACCATTTGAATATTATACATCGTATTTTTAAAGGGTATTGAATATTTTGTAAGTGAAATCTGAAAATTGAATATGAATTATTGAATTTTTAAGTATGAAAACGTGTTTGAAATATTTTTCGTTGAAATATTCAAAGCTTAAATAAACAGATATGTTAAATTTCAGGACCTAAAAATACAAACCCTGGAATTCAAGTCATTAAAATGCAAGAACTTGTTAATACGGTGTATTATTTTTTTCAGTTTGTGATATTCAACAAGCTTTTTAATTCAAGACTTTTGGCATTGATTTTGTTCCATACATTTGCATCCATTTTGCAGCTTGAATTGTTGTTGTTTTTTTTTTTGTTAAATAAATCTTACAAAATTGAAATCAGCATGAGATTAAAAATTAATACAGTTCCAATAATATAAAATGTATTTCATGAAATAAATATAGAAGCATGTTTTTGGCAGCTAACTAAATGAATTTGGTCACACTTTAAGGTTTATGTTAAGAGTTATTTATTTACTAACATGAAACAATACTCATATTTATTAATCATCGTTTCACATAAAAAAAAATGCTTTAAAATCCTAATTCTTGCTTGCTAGTTAATGCACAGTTAACACACTAACAGTGAACAACATTATTACATTTAACTAACATCACCAAAGATGAATAAATACTGTAAAATATATTGTTCATTGACTGTTCATATCAGTAAATGCATTAACTAATACAACCTGTAAAGTTTTAACAATAAATGTAAGTAATTAGTTGAATAATTAATGATTGCAAAACTAAAGAAATAAAGACTAAAATAAAAAATTAAAACATAAAAATATTGAACCTTATATGAAATAATACAAATATAATACAAATAATATAATGTGAAAATAACAGATGCCTTTACTTACTGTACCTTAAATATGAAATCACGTGTACAAGAAAACAAGTTAAACAACTTTTGGTTTTGAGCATGCAGGAAAAAAAATAAAGCAAGACTGTTTGGTTTGGTCATTTTGTGTATGTATAACCATGTTGGGTCTTGTTTGTACCTGCAGGTCCATGCACGTTCCAGAAATTAAACAACAGCGTGACATTACTGGAACCTTCAAAGTACATCTGAAAAAGACACAACACAAGCATCACATAATAAGCAGGCTTGTAAATATTGACGTGTTTCCATTTAAGACCCGGCTTTGTTTCAACCAATCCCAAGGGAAGAGCCTGTAAACAGACATTAATAACGCTCCTATTACCTCGTCAAAACAGCTCATTTGATTTAACCCTGCTAGTCCATGACAATCTAATATTAATCCAAACTACAAAGAATTCAGTGCTACCCACATGCATATCCTTGCTTTTTTCTATTCAATCGATTTGCTTAAATGATCTTGGAGACTGGATTGGTGGCTGATACAGCTCTTCCAGTCCTCCATGCAGGTGTGGAAGAGGAAGCATGAACTCGTGACGCATCATGAGTTGCATGAAACAGCACCTTGAAGACTGACGCAAAAAAAAAAAAAAAAAAAAAAGCTTGTAATAGCAAGTGTGCAAAAGGAAACAAGGAGGTCCCTGTTGTGCTCAGGACGAACATTCCAGGTCCTGCTGTAATCAAGAGTGCATCTGATGTCCTGTCTTCACAAGCAAAATTTGAGAATTCCGTACAGAGATGTGGTATTATGTTATTAACTAAATCCAGAATATGAATATGGGTTTGACTTGAAATAAAATACATTTTTACTGACATTATTTGCATTTAAATACAAAGAATTAGTGCTGGGCAAAGATTAAATGTGATTAATCACATCCAAATTAAAGTCTGCTTATATATTGTATATATCTAATACACTCTCAAACAGATAAACAAAACTACACAAAAGATATTTAATTTATAATTTGTATTACATATTTTATATCTACATATAAATAAACATTTTCTCAAATATATGCATGCAGGTGTGTATTTATTTTTACATAATAAATATAGACAGTATGCACACACGCATGTATATTGTCAAAACAAACTTGCATTTTTGATGCGATTCATTTTATTTCAGTATATAAATAGTCAGGTTTTGTTTATTTTCTTTTTCATTTTCTTTTTTTTTTCCATTTTATTGGTTAAAATATTTTAATGATTCAAAAAGCATGTATAATTGACTGAAGTCATGAATTATGTTTAACCAAAAATCATTTTACAATCTCTGAAAAGTTTAATTAATTTCAATAATATTCATTATTATTTTGTTTTATAATGTTGATTAACAGTCAATATGCTAAATACGCACTTAATTTAATTCCAATCTAACACCTGCAAACTAAACACATTTTACTAAATAAAATTGAACTAGAACAGTTAACTGACAAATGTTATTAGAATTAATTCTCTTTTTTTTGCCATATGTTGCTGCCATATGGTAGGAAAAATTTCTTATGTTTATTTAGTTTAAAAGCAAAATCATTTAAACTATTACTTGTGTTAAGCCCCAGGGAAAATTTAAATTACTTCACTTATTTCTATATTATGTTCGTTTTTCCCCGCTCCATATTAAATCTCAAGCATTTAATAACTGGACTGAGAACTCGCATTGTGTATTGTCTAGCACAGCATATCTTCTGTTCTCTAGACAGATTGCCATTTGCCAAACAGAGACAAGTGTCTTTTGATACATGTGTCGTATCAAGGACTTCACAGTGTTATCTCACAGCAGCTCTGTGAGCTTCTGCATGAATATTCAATACGTCTATTATTTGCTTTGTGAAATGCTGTGGCTTTGTAAACTTTAGAATATAAACAGGTCAAGAGAGTTATCCTAATAGTACAAGAGTAATTCTGTCGTGTTCAAATCCTGAAACTGCACAAGGCTGTCATTCTTTGCAAAGATGTACTAACTATTAATATAAAATAACTATGTCCTTAGTGTAAGAACCAACAACAGATTCAACTTTTATTTTTTAACCAACTAACACTGCTTTGTCTGTTTGTTTGTTTTTAACAGATACATTTATGCAAGTGGCAGAATAAAATGTAAGGACACTCATTATTTTAAAGTCCAAAGTAAAACTAACTCTAATTTACATTGGTAAAATCAATAAAAATACTGTTTTGTTTGGTTTACACACTCTAAACACGCTTGGTTATTTTAACCAATTTTGGCTTAAGTATTTAAATAGAATTTGTAGCCCAAATTGAACCAAGCTGTTGAGTATGTCCATATGTTACCCAAATTTGTATGAAATAACCCAGCATTTTCATTTACGTAAATGGCAGCATAAAATGCACAAACAATACAGCTGATACCTAAACACGTCATTTAAACGCCCGCACATTTTAATAAACTCCAGTGTGAAAAACTGACAATAATTTACAGGCGAACGTTCAATAATTAGCATAAATCTCAATGTACATACCGAGTTCTACTTACATTCATGATGAACTCGCTTCTTAAAAGTCCTCAAAAGACGAGTTCGAGGGAATTTAACACAGACGAAACGTCCCTTATGACAAACATGCAACTTTCATTAGCAACTGCCCATCAGCAAACATTTTATCTGTCATTATACAGTAGCTCAACAGCTGACAGGCGCTCTGCCCGAAACAAAACGAGTGCCGTGCCGTTACAACATCACGAGGTTTTATTTATATGTGACGCGGAGGACTCTGGGAAGTGCAGTCCTGTCGCTGCCTTGCGGAAATGGTCGGTTATTTATTTTTTTCTATTTATTTTTAATAAGGTAAATAATATGGGGCAAAAAATGTGTGTGTGTGAGAGAGAAATATTACGTTTTGGTTTGCTGATTAAAATTTACGTTAATAATAAACTATTTTGCCAATAGAAATTATTAAAATTACTATATATTCTATATTATTATTATGGGGGTTGCTTTTGGACGGGGGTCATTGAAAATACAAAATAATACAATAATTACACAATAAAGTAATTACAGAAATCATAATACAACAAAACGATATCAAATGTTATGTGAAATATATATTTCTCTGTCTTAAACTCGTGCTTTTGTCTGACATCAATATATTTTAATGAACTGCATACAAACAGACCAAATAAACAACAACACGAATAAATATATTTCTTTAGCCTACTATTTTGTCACATAATAAAATAAATACATTTGTAAAAAAAAATCTGCAACACTTTTATATTTTCCCCAAATCATAAATGATATTGGATTAAAGGAATAATGTACGATTAGAAAATGTTTTTAATTTTCCTAAACGCTGTGTTCGGCGGCACACTGTGATTACATCATCAGGTCGCGCCCGGATGTGGCTGATCGGCTAAACAAAACTAAGCGAAATGAGGGGATAAATCTAGGTGGGATGGAGCTGACGAGGAGCTGGACCGAGTCATTTCGACAGGATATACATCCAGAAACATCAACGGGAACTAAGGAGCTCAAAAGAAGTGCTAAGAAACACATTTGTGGGCAAGTTTGTTAGTTAGCCGCCGTTAGCTCGACGGGTAGACAATCTGCTTTAGGTCGGTGTTGTAAATAAATACCTGTCTGTTGCTTTAATCCAAAGTGCGCACATACTTAATTACAATATTCTGGAGATTATTAAAGAGGTGAATTGATGCAGGAATGTCAACGAACTGCAAAGGACAACATAAAGACGCGATGAAACATTGACAGGCCTGTTAAGTCAGGTAGTGATTACTGTAACGTTACTTAAAGGGTTTGGTCGATTTTAAAGTGGCTTAAAATGAGGAGAAACTGGATTACAAGAGAAACACGGGCTTGTGGTGGGCTTGTCGTGACTTTGGCAGCTTTGGTCATCTCCTGTCCTTTGGCTGAAGTCAGTGGTCACGATGGACAAGCGATGACACCAGAGGAAAAGTCCGAAATCAGGTGAGTGTATATTGAGGTAAAGTTGGTTTTACATTTACATTTAGTCATTTAGCTGACGCTTTTATCCAAAGCGACTTACAAAAGTCTGAATTTTCACATTCAGACTTTTTTCTTAATAATATAATTTCTGGGGGAATTATTATTATTATTATTTTTTTGCAAATTCACTGTAAAATATGCTGGGTTCCACACAATCGATTTGAGTTGGGACAACAAAGGAATTTGGCAAAATTATTAGATTTTGATGATTTAAGTTGATTGAACATAAAACTATTAGGTTGTCTAAAAAAACTAAAGAAATGGGTCGTTTCAACTCATTTTAAATAAGTAGTTTAAGCAAGCAGCAAACTTCACTTTTTTGGGGTGTAGGCAATTTTAGTTGCAGCACAATTTTACATTATCACAATACAACTTTGTTCACAGTCAATTCAACAGGGCTAAACTTGTTTTGAAGGCATTCTGATATTTTAGACAGATTATTAAAAGTAGCGTGGTAAACAATATATATAGTCTATAGTCTCAAGTAAACATTTCAAATGAATGTCACAATGTAAAACCAATTTTACCTCAATTGTGTTACAAGACAAGATTAAGACTGATGGTAGTTTCTATAAAAAAAAAAAAAACATGTTAATAGGGATGTGTATTATTGATATGTGGACAAGCTGTTTTAACATTTAATCTATTAAACGTACAAGTAGCTATTTTCATATTACTAATACTTATTTTATGTTATTAACTACTACTGTTCTTTAGTTACTAGTACTTGTATATTAAACGCTAGTGCTTATTTCTCAAATATAAATACCTTTTGAAAGAAAGTGTTGTAGTATACTGATATATTCTGTTTTAATTGAATAGTAGTACTTAGTTAGATACTACTGTCTATTAGCTTGTCATCATCACATATTAGTATGAAACATAAAAGTGCTAGGTAGGGCTGGACTGATAAACGATATTATATCGAATCGTGATAAAATTGTTTTCAATAACAATGAAACTGGACTTTTTTTCTCTGTATTGATCTAAGAGCCAATTACTCAGCAGAAATGTGCAACAATGGTAATCTAAAAGTGTGTTGATATTTGAGATGTACCGAATTTTGGCCTCCGAAAATGTATTGGCTGAAAATATGTTATACCATTTAATGGACCTTCTAATTTTTGTGGCTATGGTCATTGATGAGGTACGCTTAAATCTGGAAGCATTAACAACTTGCATCGAAATATATATCAATATAACTTAATATGGAAAATAATTATCGAGATTGCATTTTTGCCATATCGCCCAGCCCTAGTGCTAGGTATGAATATCCAATAAATTAATAGCAATATCTAATAAGTAAGAACTTATGTCTTATGAATACATTAAATATCAGTAAAATAAATAAATTTTAAAAACTGCATATTTTTAGAACTGGCAAATACATAATTACTAATACCTATATAATAATTACTTCATTTGTAAATAGAAATTTAAATTATGAGCAAGTAATAATTTAAATATTTTAATTCTTATTGAAAAATTCCAATAAAAGTTGATAACTAAAATGTAAAATTAAATGGATAATAAAGTAATTAGTGCTGGGTGTTGATTAATCATATCCAAAAAAGGGTTGTTTTGACATCCACAGTGTATATATTATGTATATATAAACACACAAACATGCATGCATTTATTTGAGGGAAAAAAAAATCATTTGTCTTTAGCTTAGTCCCTTGTTTTATCAAGGGATGCCGTGGCGGAATGAACTGCCAACTATTCCAGCATATGTTTTATGCAACGGATGCCCTTTCAGCTGCAACCCAGTACTGGGAGACATGCATGCACTCTTGCATTCACACACACACACTACGGCCAATTTAGATTATTTAATTCACTTATAAAGCATGTCTTTGAACCGTGGGGGAAATTGGAGCACCCGGAGGAAACCCACGAAGAGAACATGCAAACTCCACACAGAAATGCCTACTGACCCAGCCGGGACTCCAGTCAGCGACCTTCTTGCTGCGAGACGACAGTGCTAACCACTGAGCCACTGTGCTGCCTATAATATATAATAAACACTAAAAGTAAAAATGAATAAGATCTAATATCTCTTTAAAAGTTGTAAATAAGCACTAGTATCTAATGAATAAGTATTAGCAGCACTTAATGGAAAATATACTATATCTTAAAAAATGGTTCCAGTGGCATGAAAATGCATACTGGTATGGTTTATAAAGTAAATATAGTAACGACTTGCCTTGATGTGTACATTTAAGATTATGTTTTCTATTTATATTTGATAACTTTTGATTCCAACCCTTTATTCAAACATGGAAATTGTGAGAGACGACATGGTACTATAATGTCTTATGCAGTTGGCAAACATTACCCATCTACTTTAATTACATGTCATTTTGGTTTTGTTTGACACTAATTATGTTATTACACCGATTATATGTTCTGAACTTGTAAATCCATGAGCTCATTGTTTCAGCGTCTTTGTTCTGTTTGAGCTGGGAGAGGATTGCTGCAGGACACAATGATGTTGACAAAAAACCCAAAATGTTCAGTTTGTTGTCATGATATTTCCTGTGGTAAACCTCTGAGGTGTGGCCTGTAATGCCTTTGCACAAATGGTGTGAATGTACAGTACACTTTATTTGTGGGGGATATAGTGATGTCATGATTTCTGGTTTCAAGGTAAACCATGGTAAATTGTCTGTTTGTTAGTTTTACCTTTATCATTAAATACCTAAGTAAAAACAAATAGCATTTCTGCAACAATGTATTTTTTTTCTTATGCAAAGACAAAATTCTATTAATTTGAGACGGAGCTTGTATATTGTTGAATATTTCAGGGAGGTTTATTTATTTATTTGATCAAAATTACAGAAAACCATTAATATTATGAGAATTTATTATGATTATTATTAAAGTTTTAAGTAAATACTTTTCTGTCCTTCCGTATCACATGATTCTTTAGGAGTCAATGTATTATGGTTATTTGCTGCTCAAGATGGATTTTATTTTTGTGCAAACCATGACACATTTGATTATATATTCTTTGATCAATAGATGCTTCGAAACAGCTGTATTTGCTTTATATCAATGTATTCATAGACACTCCTGATCAAACGAATGTATTTTTGATAAATAAAAGCACACACTTTTTTCCCATCAAAAAAATTGTGTTGAATTGTATTTGCACATTATAAATCTATATGCATGCACACATCACATTAAAAAGCACTGAATGAACTGTTGCATTTGCTTATGATTTCTTCTGCTTTCTTCCAAATAACTAATACACCATTTTCTTTTTTAAGGGACCAAATTCTAGAGATGTTTGATCATGCCTATAACAGTTACATGGTAAGTCAATACCCAAGTTCAACTGTTTATTATAATTGTCAAATAGTTCTAAAATATGGTCTTTCTGATTATTTATTTATTTAGTCGAATCTGACTTGTTTGTTTTCATCAGATCAAATAAATGCTATTAGAAATGATTGTTTAAAGGTGGCATCTGATGCCCATTTTACAAGTTGATGTGATTCTTTAGGGTTTTAATAAATAGTTTAAAACTTATTTGGTTATAATTTCTCAATTATAGAGTAAATAAAAAAATTGCATAAAAACTTTTTCTTCTTCTTCATCCTACCTCTGTCAGGACTATGCCTACCCTGCAGATGAGTTGATGCCCCTCAGCTGTAGAGGAAGGGTCCGAGGGCTGGAACCCAATCGAGGAGACGTTGATGACTCTCTAGGAAAGTGAGTGAAGCTTTCACAACTGTTACATTTTACTTATTTTGTTACGTTTTTAATTTAAGGAGTCTTTTTATGCTTTATCAAGTACTTCATTATTAGCACACAAAATTAGCAAAATTTAATTAAAAAACCTCAAAATTATTCTCAATATTCATACGCACTGTTTCTGAACTCCCTCAAATCAAATGCACAAATGGTAAGATATTTATTTATTTATTTTTACATGCACATCATAATATGTTTCTGTGTTTATGCTTTGCGTTTGTTTTGAAAATCAGGATTTTAAACTGACAAAGCTTTAAAACGCACACATATATTTGGTTGTTTTGTTATTGGAGTAATGGGTAAGCTCTATAAAGACACTTGCGTTTCACTATATTCTTGGGACATTTTAGTTTAATTATATATTATTAAAAAAAATGAAATCTTTTTTTTTTTTTTATCAAAGCTTTAAATCTGTTGTTGCACATGAGCCTTGTAATGACACATGACCAGGGCCAGACAGAATCTGTGGACATTTTTTCCTATTTCTGCACAGAATTTGGTAAAAAATATAAATAAATTGAGGAATGATTTGAAGAGTAAACATGTAATAAAAAAGAATCCCCTTTTAATTTTCATTTACGGTTTACAATGCAACTCTAATTAGATCCACTTGTTTTGTAAACAAAGTAAGTTTCTCATGTATTATATCAACTAATGACAGTAAAAATTACTTTACAAACTGTGTTGTAAAGAATTCTCATAAAAATATGCACACTACTACTGAAGTTAATCTAAAACGGAAAAATGGGCTAAAATGCACAGATTCGATGTGGGCCTACACATGACTCCTATGATAATTAGTCAGTTTGCTATATTCACTTGCAAATATTAGTTAGATATTTGATCACTTATTCATAAGGTTTCTATTGTATGTTGATTCTTTGTTTCATTATTCACAAATTGTCTTTCTCTTTTTACAGGTTTTCTCTAACCCTAATAGACACGTTAGATACTCTTGTGGTGAGTTCAATCTAGTCAGATTTGATGGAAGTAAAGCATCAACATGTATTTAATGAAATACACCAATGCAACCAGACATTTTTTGCACGGGAAAGTACTAATGGAAACATCTAGACCAAATGCAATTATGTTTGTGTGTGTTTTGAACAGTTGTTAAACAAACTGGACGAGTTTGAGGAAGCTGTGAAAAAGATCATGAGAGACGTCAGACTGGACAATGACATCGTCGTCTCTGTTTTTGAGACCAATATCCGTGTGCTCGGGTGAGGCTCATGATGTTTTTGTTTCTTCAATCTTTTTTTAAAATCACACTGCAAATTTTTAAATAATTTAGATGTTGGGCACCAGTTTTTCAGGCTATATTGTTCAAGTTGATTGTTTTCAAGGGTATCCATTAAGAAGCACATCACTGATTAAAGCTCTCCCTGTTCTTGTAGCGGTTTGTTGGGTGCACATGTGATGGCTGATGTTTTGAAGCAGCGTGGACAGAGAATGCAGTGGTACAGAGATGAACTGTTACACATGGCCAAAGAGCTAGGATACCGCCTGCTGCCTGCCTTTAACACCACCAGTGGCCTTCCTTATCCTCGGGTAACATTATCATTATTATTATTATTATTATTATTATATTTTTTATTATTATTATTAGAAGGTAAAATTCACTTAGATTCAGAGTATTTGACAAACTGATTAAAATAGCGTTCAAACTTATTTATCTTTACTTCGAATTTTTATTTCAATGACATATTAAAATTATTGTTTTAAAAAGAATTTTCATTGAATAATTAAAAACTAAGGCAAATATAAAACATGTCACACAAGGGTTTTATGGGAGTGTATTGAATTAAATAAAAACATTTGGCATGTACATTTGATCACAAATGCAACTAAAACAATATTGATGTAAAATATTATTACAAGATATAAAAATGATTCATTTTAATATATTCTATTATCTAATCCATTAATTTAATGATTAGGCTGAGTATTCAGTATCATTACTCTAGACTTGTGTGGTTATTCTACAGAAGTTGTTTTTGTGCGTTCCTTTGGTTTCAGAAGTTGATCTAGTATGTTCAGTTGGTGCCAAAGAAACATTTGTTATTACCCAGGTTGCAAACAATTCTGCCATTTACTTTTTTTTTTTTGTTTAACAATGTTTATTTGGGATTATACAATGAATAGAAATTTAAAACAAACTGATTTTATTTGAAACAAAAATGCATTATAAATGTTTTACTGTCACTTTTGATTAGCTTAATGCAGGGGTGCCCAAACTCTGTCCTGGAGAGCCAGTGTCCTGCAAAGTTTAGTTACACCCCAATCAGACCCACCTTGGCTAGCTAATCAAGCTCTTACTAGGCTTTCTAGAAACATACATGCAGGTGTGTTGAGGCAAGTTGGAGCTAAAATCTGCAGGACACCGGCTTTCCAGAACCGAGTTCAAGCATCCCAGGCATAATGCATTTTTGTTAAATGAAATTTTATATATTTTTTTAATCTGTCCAGCTTTGCACATACTATATACTTAAAATAATTGTAATAACTAGGTACTAACCCCTAAGATACCTGAAACCTAACCAGAATAATGACTTTTTATTATTAAGTTCTTTCTCAGGTAGGAACACTGTAAGTTGAACACAAGTGCACTTACTGAAAGAAAAAATACATTTATTATTTTTATTAATATCATTTTGCAGTGAGATCCAATTTTTTATAGGAAAGTTTTCTTCAATTACTTTTACTTTCATTTTTTAAAAACATTTTTCCCCCATATCAGGTAAACTTGCGTTATGGAGTTGTGAACCCACTTTCGCGTACGGGCACTGAGTCTGACACTTGCACTGCTTGTGCCGGGACCTTGATTTTAGAGTTTGCAGCACTTAGTCGAATGTCTGGGGACACGATATTTGAGGTAAACATCCAGCATATTTTTTTAAATTCCTTTTTTAAAGACTTCAGCAGTGAAAGATCTACGCTAAGAAGTTGCTCGACCTTCATCCATTGTAGGAACATGCTAGGAAAGCTATGGACGTCCTCTGGGAAAAGAGACAAAGAGGAAGTGATCTTGTTGGTACTGTGATAAACATCCACAATGGAGACTGGGTTCGTAGAGGTGAGGCCTTGCATTGGCAACATTGCCGTTGCTTTATTTACACAAACAAATCCCACAAAGCTGTTGCACCACATCCAATCCTTTTATTGACACCTATCCACCTTTTTCTACATTTCTTGCATTTCATGATGCTTTTTTTCTAGTTATAAATTGCTCTACCTGTCTAGGGAAAGTACTTACAAAATAACTGAAAAAATTACATCAAGATCCAAAACAATGCATAATTTGACTAGTACGCAATTTAGTAGCACCATTGCATTTTACAGAACAATAAGAAGAATTAAGATGCAGGAAAAAAGTGCAAAGAAACAAGTGTCAAGGGGAAAAAAAATTAGCCATTTATAAACCACTTCCTAAAATCTCACCTAGTTCTTTTGTTAAAGGTTCTCCTTGCTCATCAAACACACTCGCTCTGTACGCTTGATATTTTAACATTTCATTAGTATCATGGACATATCTGTTGCCAAAGTTCTAATTTATTTTGTTTCTGCAGATTATGCTTCTTTTTGTATTTTCAACACGTCTGTAATATCACTGCAGAAAGACTCCAAAGTTTTGTGGTTATTTATTTGTTCATTCTATAAAAAAAAGTGTAGTTTTAAAGAGGACCTATTATGACCCTTTTTACAAGATGTAAAACAAGTCTCCAAATTCCCTAGTGCGTTTATGTGAAGTTTTAGCTCAAAGTACCCCACTAATAAACTCTTTGAATATGCCCTTTTTAGGCTTTGAGCCTAGTTGTGCCATTGTGTTGACTGTTGCTTTCTTAACCAGCACATTAACCTGCACTATATGCTTTCATAACCAGCGCTATCTCATAACCAGAACATAACCAGCATAATAAACTGCTTATGTTCACAGACTGTTGCCACACAACTGTATTTAAACATTTTATAAAAGGGATTTTTGCATAATGGGTCATTTTTAATATTGAACGAAGGTATCGTGAGGGAATTAATAAAACATCATTGTACCTAGTAAAAAAAAAAAAACTCTTCACTGATGGTTTAATATTGTGTTATTTTCTCTCATAAATCTCACAAGCATTATGGGATGTAGAAAAAAGATAGACTGAGATGATGTTCTGCGTTTCTCATGACAGATAGCGGTGTTGGTGCTGGAATCGACTCTTATTATGAATACTTGATGAAAGCTTATATTCTTCTTGGGGACAAGGTGTACCTTGAGAGATTCAACACAGTACGTGTTCTTTATCTTTCAGAAATAATCAATCCTCTCATTGGTCAAACAGAGCTTGCTTTTACATCTGTTATCTGCTCTCGTGACTTTGACTTTGTCTATTGTGACAGCACTACAGTGCCATTATGAAGTACATCAGCCAACCTCCTTTGCTGCTCAACGTCCACATGCACAATCCCACAGTAAATGTGCGCAGCTGGATGGATTCCTTGCTCGCCTTCTTCCCTGGATTACAGGTTCACTTTTTTGCATCTAAATATAGACACTTTTTTTTAAAAATGTACATGGTGTTAGCAAGGATTTGTTTTGGAGTGTTTATTAGCACACATCCTAAAACTTGACCTCAGTTTAGCTAGGAACTTAAATATGGTTTGTTTTTCCTCCTTTTAGTCAAGCCACCAAGATGAAAATATGTGGGATTGATCTCAACAAGCATGTATAATTAAGATAGTTTTTCAAAATAAACTATAAAAGGGATAGCTTACCAAATTCCCACCTAAAATCCACCAATTTTTTTTTTTGCTTACTATTTACTGGGTTTTCCAAACCATATTAAGTTTCTTTTTTGTTCTTAAAAGAGGAAAATACATTTTAAAGAATGTTGTAAACTGGTAGCCACTGATATCCATAGTAGGAAAGGGATACTATGGATGTCAGTGGTTAATTAGAAACGATGCCCTGCCTTGTCAACTCACCAGAAATTGAAATGGTAAAATTGGCAAACGGGAAAATAATAAATACATTTAAAGCCGAATAGAAATAAAAATTAACTAATAAATATTATTAAGACACATACTGTAAGTTAAACTAAAATTAAACTAAAAAAATATATAAAACAAATTCAAAAATATTTACAAAAAAAATATATAACCAATATTAAAAATAACACCACTCATAATATTTCATAAAGGTCCAAAAACTTAAATCAAAAGTTAAGTTTGTAGTCAAATTCAACCTAATAAAGTTTTTGTGATTTGTTCTTAAAAATGTACTCGTGAAATGTTTTTAAAGCAATAGCTGGCATGGCAGAAAGTTGCATTAGTCTCCATTTACTACTTAATGCAAAGAAAATAGCATTAGTAACTCAAAATTCAATGTAAAATTCAAAGTAATTAATCAACTACGTCAAAAATGTCTTTCAGGTTCTGAGAGGAGACTTGAAACCTGCCATCGAGACGCATGAAATGCTTTATCAAGTGACGAAGCAGCACAACTTCCTCCCTGAGGTAATAAACAGACAACTACATCTGCATAAACCACTTTAAACCTAAAAATCTGAGACAATTTTTCAGTACTAATTCTGTATACCCTTCTGTACGCCCACATAACTGATCCAACAGGCCTTTACCACAGAGTTCAGAGTTCACTGGGGACAGCACCCATTGAGACCAGAGTTTGCTGAGAGCACATACTTTCTTTACAAAGTAAGTTTACTACCAGAAACAGCAGATTAAAAACACCTAATAGGTGTTTTTAACAACCAACAACAGCACATAGATGTGTTTGTTGTCACTGACTACGTTTACATGGACATCAGTAATCTAACCATTTGATTTTATCTAAATAAGCAGTAATATTGAGGTGTGGTTATTTAAATGTTCCTTTAATGTTCCCGTTTTATATGTTATAGTACATAGTTCGATTGACGTCATTATGTTACCATTCAACGATAGTTTTCTCTGGGGTTTCATGCAACAACAGTTCATGTTTGTCAACTTGTCATTCATGCCCCCACGACAGACACTTCAGAGTCAAGGCACTTCATAATTTCTTTCATTTTTATTTCTTCTAGAATCTTTAGCTTAGTCATCGTTTCCTGTTCGCAACCAAAATGTGCTTACTTGCTTGAAGCCATTCTCGTTTGTTTATCAAAGAAGTTCTGACAACCTCTGTGTGTGCGTCCTGTTGCAAAATGTAGCAAAAAAGTTCAGCAAAACGGTAATAGTTTGATTAGGTGTTTACATATCTATACTGCACTTGAATTTTGTGACTAAAAATGAATTATTAAATAAATATATTAAATATATAGTTTAATTAAGACTTTAGTTGAATTAAGGTCATCAAAAATCTCAGTTTATATGGTAGACCCTTAATCAGACGATTGTCTTATTAAAATCAGAGTATTGGTGTCTATATACTCATTGTGAACGAGCTTAAGGGTCAGAGTTGACTTGTCAAACCAGTTCAAATGTCTACATTCATTATTTTTAAATACCATTTCTGGCCTTGTTTTCTAGGCTACAGGTGATCCGTACTACTTGAAAGTGGGCCAGTCTATAGTGGAGAAGCTGAACGCTCATGCTCGGGTCCCCTGTGGTTTTGCCGCTGTGCAAGATGTGAGAACAGGAACTCATGAGGACAGGTGAGAGTCTGTTATTTGGTCTTATTTTCCCTAATTTCTGTTTAATAAAGAGAAGATTTTTTTCAACACATTTCTAAATATAACAGTTTTAATAACTCATTTCTGATATCTTATTTCTTTTATCTTTGCCATGATGACAGTAAATAATATTTTATTAGATATTTTTCAAGATACTACGTGACATTTAAAGGCTTAACTAGGTTAATTTGGTTAACTAAGCAGGTTAGGGTAATTAGGCAAGATATTGTATAACGATGGTTTGTTCTGTAGACTATCTAAAAAAAATTGCTTAAAGGGGCTAATAATTTTGACCTTAAAATAGTTTTTAAAAAACTAAACACTGCTTTGTTTCTAGCTAAAATAAAACAAATAGAAAATAAAAAGGAAAAATGTTATAGGAAATACTATGAAAAATGCCTTGCTCTGTTCAACATTAGACAATATTTAAAACGATATTTAATAGAAGAGGAAGAAATTAACAGAAGGGCTAATAGTTTTGACTTAACTGTACATTAATTAAGGCAAATTGTGTACCGAGACTCAACTACCACAATGTTGCCTGCTGGATCCCTAAACTTTTACACTAGTGCCATTTACACTGCTGCATTTTTGTAGTAAATCAACACTTTTTCTGATCCACTAGTGCTTTTATTGCATTTTATTTCTATATAGCTTAAGATGCATAATACGTGAACATTCACGCTCACTGGGTATGCGTATATTTTGCTGACATACAACCTTACAGTCTACCTCTTGTGTGATGGTCATATGATCAGGGCTTGACGAATCAGGAAACGATATAATACAGAAACCCAGAGATTATGGATAGCCGGGCCTCTGTTTTCACAAGTTTGCATTTCAAAACTGAAATTAAACCCCAATGTGTCCAGTCTAAAAACTGAGTGTTTATCGTTTTCAAAACCACCATTTTTGTGGATCGAAGATGTTGGAGTAATGTGGACACAAGATGTAACAAAACGTAGGTCTTTTAAAAAGAAAACCTGTTAGTGTAAACGGTACTTTAGTGGAATTTCTGGTAATTTCAAGTAGTGGTGATTGCAAAACAAATGCCAAATTCCACTTTAGGATATTAAGCCCCTAATTAAACAATATTTATTAAATAAATAGCAAACGAAATGTATAGTATCTTTTGTACATGTTTTTATGGATCCAGAAAAAGTTTTTTTTTTTTTTTTTTTTTTTTTTTTGTCGAAGGTACATTTAAACAATCTTTTAAAAAGCTCTTTTTAAAATTTAATTAAAATTAAAATGTAAAATTTTTAATCAATTTATATTGTTCTGAAATATTAGATTTTGGTTAAAGTTGACAGTTAAATGATTGTTTTAATGTATTGCATTTTTCTGAATATAACATTTAAAATGCATCTGCTATGCAATAGCTTCTGAAGATGGTATATGGTATATGTGGCACATCACATGCCACAACCAGAAAAATCAGGATGTTTAATTGGTGAATTGGGTGGTTGTCTTCTCATTAATGGTAGATTAATTTTAAAGTACTGCAGTAGTCCAATTGTTTTTGATCTTTGTTTATTTCAAGGATGGACTCTTTCTTCCTGGCTGAGATGTTTAAGTATCTCTACCTGCTGTTCTCAGAGAAGAGTCAGTTGCCTATAGACATTGATGACTATATTTTCACTACTGAGGCTCATTTGCTCCCAGTATCCCTGTCTACAACCCAGCCTTCCTGTCTTACCAATGGCACGGTAAGAGCTCATCATCCCAATTGCTACTACCCTTAAGCAAAGGGAAAAACAGAGGATTTAATTAGTATAGTTTTGTTTGTGCTGACATTGTAAATGTTAATTGTCTGTCAAAGCAGTGCTGTGAATATTCTACTTCATAGAAGAAGCATCTGACTTAGTATGGCTGCATGGTAAATTACTCCCAAAATGCCAATATTGAAGTAGAAACGAAACAGTTAAACATACACTTGTGGAATGCCATATTTTTGTTATTTTGGAAAAGTGGTATATATTAAATGTGGTAAACCTGATCTTTAATTTTTTTGCCATGACATAGCCATAGAAGCTGATATGGCAATAGGTTTAAAATGCTCTCTCTCTCTCTGCATGGTAATCAGGATTTAGCTAAATTTGCAGTCGTATTTGTGAATATAATGTTATGCAATTTTAAGATAAAATTAATGGGTAATTTGTCAGGGAAGCATGTCTGAGCAGTAGTAAAGCTATTCCAAAAGCCAGGGGGTGCTCTCTCGCAGAAATTGTAAATATGAGATACGAAGAATAGACCTAGAAAATAAAAAATAGAATGGATACAGCTGTGGATATTCTTATCAATATAGCATTGTTGTTACTCTGTTCACCTATAACTATTTTCTTTTTTGCATTACTATGAGACGTACGTTTAGGGTAGGGGTAGACATTAATACAATTAAATGGTTTATTTAATAAAGTATAAATAATGTGTCAACTTCCAGCTGCAGCTGTATCCCTTCTAACAACTGATTTGACTGCTTTTATTGATTCAAAGCCACACAACTACAGAATCATCTCACAGATGTATTTGTTTCAGACACTCAACTGAGGTTATGAAGTGAGTTTGGAATAAAACCATTAGTTTTGAAGTTTAAATGTGGTCATCTTTTAATAATATAATAGCCATAATAATAGCCATGTTTAAATTCAAAATTGAAGGTTTAACATTGGGCTTCTCCTTGTTTAAGGTATTTTGCAACAAGTAGCTACAGGAACTGGAGCTACAGTGGTTATAGGAACTAACCACCATGCCCAGGAATTTCTCAGCACAATTCCTCCAAACTGCACTCCTAGAACTATGACCCAATTCATCCAGTGCAAACATGTAATAAGTAGATTTTTCTCCTAATAGTTCTAGGAACTATGACAAAAGTAGTTCCTCTGGTCCAATAGACAATGAACAGTTGCTTTAAAGTAGAAAAAAAGAGTCATTCTAAATATTTGAAGGCAACACTGACACATTCATGTTTATCAAACAGGAACCCCCAGCACATCAGGACGATTTGTTTTCATACTCCTGCCCCAGTGCTCAAACCCTGTTTCCCAACAACCCCACGTTCGCCAAGACAATCAGAGATGGATATAAATACCTCACCGGTGTGGGAAGAGCGCAGCAGGCCTCATCTGTCAGGTGGGTCAGATGACACAGAGTCACTGTAAAGAAGCATGTGCATGAAATAAAGGCTTTATTTCCTCTATTTCTTGAACACAGGGGGATTGAGCTGCCTCTTCATGACACAGGCCTGGAGCCAGTGGAGTTTCTGAAGAGCATGGGCATCTCTCTAACACCCCTTACTGAGCTGGTCTCCGCAAGTCAAGGCTCAGTGCCTCAGGTGACTCCTAAAGAGAATGATGTGTTCGACTAAAGCAGCTAGAAATATTTATATTGACTGTAATATTTACAGGGCTAAATGTAGATTTGTCCTCCGATTTAAAGAAAACTCACTGTAATAAATCAAATAAAATAGTTGTTGTTTTCATTATTTTTGAGCCATACAGTAATTTTGATTTGTTTTTTAAAGTGCTTAAAGTCTATTCTTCTCATGAAAAGCTTATTTATTTAATCTAAAATATAGTAAAAACTAAAATATATATTAGTAAATATATATTTTAATGAAATATATTCCTGTGATCCAAAGCTGAGTTCTTTCACATCATTACTCCAGTTTTAAGTGTTGTTTCGAGCACAGGGGCTCTTTATCAGACTCGAAACGTTTCACATGTTGTGAGAACTTTTTAAGGTAATAAATGTATATTTTTGGAGCTTTAGTGTTGCCTTCTTTATGAATTATTTCCACCTTTTGTTGTTTGGCTGAGCACCTGTTTAGATTTTGTGTGCTTTTTTGCATTTTTACAGTTTTAAGTGACACATTATCCTTAAATGTAATTTTTTTTGTAATATGCTAATTTACTGAAGAATTAACTACTAAAAAGCCATTAAACAAATAAATATAGTTGAACAAAGGTGCATAAAAAACAGGGATTTGAGTACCTTTTTCTATGATGGATTTATAAATATTTGAATTAGCTTGAATTATTATTATATTTTTTTCAGGTTATTTTAATCTCAGCTTTTGCTTTTAGTAGAGTTGCGTTTTTTGTTGTTGTAATTTTAATACTTTTTAATTATTTAATATATTTATTTGTTTACTAGATTTATATTTCAGCTTTTTGGTTTTGTTTTATTTTTATATTAGTTTTAGTAATTTCAGTACTTAAATAATATTTCAGGGTGTTAAATAATATTTCAGGGTAATATATTCAGGGTGTCCACAGGGACTTAAATTCTTAGAAATATAGTGTTGTAGGTCTTAAATCATTTTAAACATGTCTTAATTTCCCTTTGTCCAAGTAAAACTACTCAGTCTGGGTGATGCCCAATCACCAATAATTCATCTCAATCTTTTTTTTATATTTAAGTTTATTATTTCAAAGAAATACAATTTACAATAGCTGTTTGACATTTTTCAGCAAATGCTACTAATTAAATTCCCTAATAAGGGAAAGAAAACTAAAGCAACACATCTTTTTACATGATCTACATTAATACAACAACTATTTACAAAAGTAACTGGGCCATTAGAAAAAAAGTCCTTAGTGTTTAGCCCTGTATAAGTCTACATTTTATTCACATGGGTCTTAAAAGAGTCTTAAAAAGTCTTAACTTTGATTTAATGAAACTTGCAGAAACCCCGTATATTATAACTGATTTTATTTTGCCTAACTTTAATCTAATATTTATCCGCTTAATTTGAAATGACTAAATTAAAATTGAATAGCTTTAGTAGCCACTAAGAGCAATGGGAACAACTGTTGTCTGTCTGTTGTAGGGATAGTTTACAGTTTAACCCAAAGAATGACCAGTCTGGTAGATAAAGAAGAGCCAGAGTCAGAGATTTAAATAAATAAATTAAGTTTACTGAAGATAGTTTGCAGTTTCATCCGCAGAAGCCAGCTTCAACACTCGCAATCAGTTCCTAGGCCGCTCTGCTTACAATCACCAATCAATAACAATTATACTCTCACATAACGTCATTAACTGCGTCATACATACAGGTGTCCTAACCTGATTGGTTAAAACACAGATAGACTAGGAACATTTCTACGTGGGGTTCGTGCGTACAATTCTGAACAATATCTAAACATAAACGTCAGACATCCTTTAGACTGATTAGAGCTGACTCCAGACCTGTGAAATGGATCAACAATCAAATAGAACACACACACACAAAGTATAATCTGTTTCTTATCCAAGGCTGACTGTACTGTGAGCCGTCTTTATCGAAACACTGGTTAAAAACCGGTATAATCTACATTCACGCAGTTATATTCTTACTACACAAAGTCTGTCTTGAATAAAAAGTAGAATCACTTTAAAAGATTTAACAGTAAAAATAGCAATATCACTTTAGACATTTTAGACAGTATTAACTCCTAGAAATAACAATAGAAACAGCTGTTTCCAGTACTCAGCCCTCAGCTCCACTCAAGGTCTCCATGACCTCTGACCTAGTTTGCTGGCTCCTGAAAATAGGTATAAAGAGACAGGCAAATGCACTGAACATTCTTATATTAAGCAATGTGTTAACTTATTCTTTAATTAAAATCAATTCACAGTTAAATACTGAGAAACAGGATGATGAAAAGGATAAACGTTGGTCCATGATGAGATGGACTGGAAAACAGAAATCCGAATCCTTCACTGTGATGATCTGTCCTTCTGTATGTCAGTTTATTTATTAATTTATTTCCCAATAGGATTCTCAGAAGGGTGTGTTCAAGCTGAAGCTGGTAGCAGAGGTCAGCCAAACCCCTGAGCACGAGGAAGTGGTGCCACTCATTGTCCAACTCATTTCCCCTCCATTTTTAGGCCGAACTGTCCTTATGGCTGGTCCAGCAAAGTTTGGACTGGATCTCACCAAACAAGAGCACGGGGTAAGCAAGCGTACGGCCACTTCTGATTGCAGGGCACATCAACTTTTTAAACACAATCCTTTTTAGGTGAAAGGACGCATCATGAAGAGTGTTCCCTATACCGCATGTGGACCCATAGAGAACACAGTGGAGCTGCAAGGACATATAGCGCTGGCGTTAAGAGGAGACTGCATGTTTGCTGCTAAAGCACGACGCCTACAGGAAGCAGGAGCCATCGGTGTCATATTCATCGGTGAGATCTAGTTGAGATGCATATTTAGAAACCAGACTTTTTTTTTTTTTTTTTTTACAACGGGGGAAAATAAGTATTGAACACATCATATTTTTGGGGGGGAATAATATTTCTAAAGGAGCTGTTGACATAGAATTGAACCTTTTTTGGTAAAAACCCAAACAATACAAATAAAAAAAGAAAACAAAAACAAAAAACAATGTGAAGAATGAGTTGTATATAATAACAATCGAATGACACAAGGAGAAACTACTGAAATGTATTTAACACTTCATATTAAAGGCTTTTTTAATTTTGTCAGCTTAAAGACACCTCTCATAAGGAGAATGAAGTCACATGCATTGCTCGGGTGTGAGTTTTTTTTTTTTTTTTTTTTTCACTGACCCCAACAGAGTGTAAAAATCTTTATGGTTTTTTGGGTCTTGTCTATTAAATCTGACCTATATTTTGTATTTTCTATTGGATTCAAGATTTTTCTTTCCCTGAAAGCATTTGATAGTTTCCTTGGCTGTGTTTTGCATCATTGTCTTGCTGAAATGTCCACCCTGGTTTCATCTTCATCATCCTGCTAATGTAGATGTTGGACTAAAGCAGCTAATGTTCATTTACAATGAGGAAGGGCAGAGAGTTGCTGAAGAACTACTGAGAGATTTAAGCTGCTGTCAGGGCTTTCTCTGCTTTTCTACACCGTCCTTTTTTCATGTGTTCAAAACTTTTTCCCTGCTTCATTTCATTATGCATAACTTAATTTGTAAACTAATTAAATTAGTTTTATATAAATGTATACATATGAAATGTATTTACCTATATATAATGTGTATTTGTGGATTTCTCTGGTTGTTACCAACATCTGGTGAAAATTTTAAGTTAACAGCACCTTTGGAAATAGGTTTTCTGAGAAAAATGGTGATGTGTTCAATACTTATTTTCCTCGCTATATATTTGGCTGATCCCTTTCTAGACCTGCACACATTTTTGTAGTACAAAGTGTGTAAACGGAGCATTAAAAGAAGACTGATATACTAACAGACATACTGTACTGGCGGCACAGGCAGAACACAAATAGAAACCCATGATAGATTCTGCAACAGTTTGACAACTTTAACAGTATTGGTCTTTGTTAATTTTATAAAAAATTTAATCAAAAGACTGTATGGATGAGATTTGGGCAGATACAATGGATCCAATTTTTTTTTTTTTTACAAGTTTTCTTATTGCTTAAGTTTAGGCCATCGCTGTGATTTTATTTTTTTTTATGTTAAAGTCTAAAAAAAAATTAAGAATTTGGTTTTCAACTCTATATTCTTAATCCTTCTTTGAATTTTTTTTTCCCAAAAAGAAAAAGTATTAAATAATTTTTTACAGTATTTCTTGTTCTATTTTTCCTCTTTAAAAAAGTCATTTTTATTTAAATTTAGCAAAAAGCATATAATAAACTAGTAAACATGCACTGTCATCATCTCAAATATAAATTGGTATATAGCATATTAAAGCCCTGAGTGTTTGGTTGTGTTTGGTTTTTATACCTCACTTCACTGCGCTTTCATTGACAACATCAGGGGAAAAAAGCTCATGGAAATGCTGTGAATGCGCCACCTACTGGAAGAAAAAGAATTAATGTTTTTATTGAGCACGTTATTTTTGTTTACACTTACATTTACATTCTTCTTATTGTGTTCCTTACTGTATATTCTTTTTCTCTTATTTATTTTTAGGTTTACTTGGTTTACATTGTACTTTAATATTGCTACAAATGCATAAGAATTAGCCAAATTAACCATGGTTTCATCCTTTATCCCTAGGCAGATCTTAAAATATTTTGCCTAAAGATGATCAAAGCAATTATAAAATAGACATGCCTATACACAACCAGATTAATATAGGGTGTAAAGACTGGTAGTAGATTAGTATAGACTACTACCAACATTATATGAAATATGACGGCAGTGTTCTAATCTGAATGTGTGTGTTGTTAATGTCCTCATAGATCACAGAGAGGGCAGCAGCAGCGCTGAGACTCCTCTGTTTCAGATGGTTGGAGATGGAGAACCCACTGATGACATCACGGTTCCTCTAGTGTTCCTCTTCAGCAAAGAGGGAGCAACACTTACTGCCGCTCTGCAGGAACATCACAATGTGGACGTCCTCCTACTGCCCAAAGAGAGACAACTGGGAAAAGGTGATTTGATCAAACATCAACTAATCATAAATATCAATTTATTTTATTTATTTTTTTTTTTTGCAGAAAGCCCTTTTTTGGCACTTATTAGCAAAAATTCATTTTCGTTTCGGCTTAGTCTCTTTTATAATCTGGGGTCGCCACAGCGGAATGAACCGTCAACTTATCCAGCATATGTTTTATGCAGCGGATATCCTTCCAGCTGCAACCCATTACTGAGTAACACCCATACTCACTCATTCACACATACACTACGGCCAATTAAGCTTATTCAATTCACCTAGAGCGCATGTCTTTGGGCGTGTGGGGGAAACCGGAGCACCCGGAGGAAACCCACACGAACATGGGGAGAACATACAAACTCCACACAGAAATGCCAACTGACCCAATCAAGGCTCGAACCAGCTACCTTCTTGCTGTGAGGCAACAGTGCTACCCATTGTGCTACTTTTGATTGTAAATGTCCTTACATTGATTTTTTTTTTGTAAAAAATATGTAATGAGTAATCATAATGTAAATATGTTTATTGTTATTAATAATAAGAAGAAATTTACCAATACAAAATGAATGCACTTTAGAATAAACATTTAGCGTTTTTGCCTTTTAATTTCTTTTTGTATTTCCTTATTTTATAATTTAAATTCAATTATAATAATAATAAGAATACAGTCATTTTTTTTATTTAATAAAAATATTTAATGTTTTAATCATTTTGAAAATAATTTTAGTGTAATTTTATATTGAGATGTGAAGAGATCAGATGCAAAACCCTCTAAATCCATCAGACCTCTTTTCTTGTAAATTATTATTTTCTCTCAGGCTCCTCTGATAAGGTTCAGAAGTTTCATTTTATATGTAATAATATGGTTATTAGCTAGATAATAAAATACCTTTTTTCAAAAATGTCACTTTAGACAATTCTTTGTCTAAAGTGTTTTTAATTCATCCTGTTTTTAAGAAGATATATTTTCTTTTGCGTCAAAACCAGCTAAATCCACGTCTGCTTTTTATGCAAAACCCTCTAAATCCACCTATTGGGACAAGACAGTGTAATTAGTTAAAAAATCAATAAAGATGCAATAAGAATTTTTATTTACCAAACATAAAACACATTGCACAAACCACCTAGAATACATAAATCAGTCAAGCAAGTGGCGGTTCATTCCACTGTGATTAAACCAGGGGAAACGCAGAAGGAAAATGAATGAATGAAATCTGTCAAGTTAATGCATTAATCAATAACATTAAAACAGACATTAATTAAATCCTAAAAATCTGTTGTCATTTCTGATATTTGGGATTTAGATTTATTGTAAGTAGAACAATGTTGTAAACTAAGCTTGGTAGATTCAAATAATGTAGTGTGAAACATTATAAAACATCAATATCATTGCATTGTCCATTATTACAAAAAGCTTATCAGGCATGTAGGTATTATGACGTAATATAAATAATTTATAGTTTTGTACATTGTTTATCTTTTAAAAAATAGCTTAAATTGGCAAATAAAACACAAGGTAGGCCTGCTGGGTAAAAATGGATGTCTATGTTAATATTTTAGAAGCTGTCATTCATTCAGTCTCACCATACTTAAGGTCTTGATCCCTTGTTTTTCCTTATAGCATCCATGTGGGATTAAAGAACAGCACCTTTACTCTGTCGTGAAACGCAGTTGCCGTTTAATATATTGTAAATCGGACTCATTCAAAGTAGCGTCGCTGCGCAAAAAAACGTTATGCATGCATGCTACACTTTGTACAGTGTGTTTTCGATTTCTTATAATGCACAGAGTTTTTTGGTAAGGAATGTTTTCATTTGCTATTCACTGACAGTCGGACAGGCGCATGCAGTTCATGAAACTCCATCTTTTAAAATTGAAAGCGGAATAAAGCTTATCAAAGCAGTCGTATCAGCGCACTGTTAGATTGAACACATATGATTCGATTCACGCCTTCTGATTGGTTCTCGGGATGTAACATTTGCAATCAAAGGCAAGTGGCATTTAGCAGCTTTTGCCAACAAACTGTTATTTCTGAATGAGCTGACGCTGGGATTGAGATGATTTGAAGCAAATCTATTTGTTGATGGTGTACTACGTGCCTGAAGCATTCACTCAATGTCATTATCTCAGTTTTGGCAGAACTTTTCCATCTGAACTCTTCATATTTAAATGGTAATAATAATAACAATAATAATAAATAATGACACATTTTATCATAATAAATTTTAGCATGTAATTCTTATTTAATGTCACAATTTCATGTATAAATATTATCAATTAAACAAAATTAATAATATTGATAATTATCATGGTCAAGTGAGGCAGTGGCGCAGTAGGTAGCTCACAGCAAGAAGGTCGCTGGGTTGCTGGTTCGAACCTCGGCTCAGTTAGCGTTTCTGTGTGGAGTTTGCATGTTCTCCCTGCCTTCGCGTGGGTTTCCTCCGGGTGCTCCGGTTTCCCCCACAGTCCAAAGACATGCGGTACAGGTGAATTGGGTTGGCTAAATTGTCCGTAGTGAACCCAGAGATGGGTTGCGGCTGGAAGGGCATCCGCTGCGTAAAAAACTTGCTGGATAAGTTGGCGGTTCATTACGCTGTGGTGACCCCGGATTAATAAAGGGACCAAGCCGACAAGAAAATGAATGAATTATCATGGTCAAATTGAAAATATACAGTAAAATTTCATTTTTAGAATTTACATTTCTCATTTTAATCTAATTTTATTCATTCATTTTCCTTCGGTTTAGTCTCTTCTTTATCAGGGGTCACCACAGCGGAATAAACCGCCAACTATTCTGACATATGTTGGATGCTCTTTTCAGCTGCAACATAATTTTGTTTAAATGTAATAATAATAATAATCATCATAATACTAAACATAATAACAGTTGAAATGATCCTGAATAAAATAAAAGTTGAATAAAAGTTCATTATAAATGTTTGCTTTTAATTTTTCCTGCCATTTTATTTTTCCATTTGAACATGTTAATTGCTTAACATATTTGTCTTGTATATTTTACAGATTAATGATACAGGCCCATTTTTGGAGGTGAACTTCAAGTGTTTGTTAACTTTTTACTTCCTCATAGAAAAACCTGAGAAGTTAAACATCAAGTTCCGTTTGGCCAAAGAAGGAGAGCTTGAAGATGGTGAGATGGAAAGCACTACTATCCAGCTCGTCCTGGAGCAAAGCGAAACTGCCACATCTTTACCAGCAGACAACCAGGAGACTTGCACCTTTCCACACAAAGACCCCGAGAGCAGCCCCTGACAGCGGCTCAGACCTGATCACAGTCCTCTTCACACAACACAGGGCTTCGCTCCCTGTCTCTGACCTCAGATCAGCTCTGATCACTTAGCAGAATCTCTGCCAGGCCTGGACTGCACCATCTTAAGTGGGGAACAGAAGTCTTCCTCTGGTAAAGATGGTCTGATCTTGCGGAGCTGGAGCTACACCACAGGTCACAAGTTTGTCATCAGTAGGATTTGTTCACTTTTTAATAATAATCCTATTCTGCTCACCATTTATCTGATCACAAATACAGTAAAATATTATTATAATGTAAAATAAAAGTTGTCTTATTGAATGCTGATTAAAATTTAATTTATTCCTCTGATCCAATGCTGAATTTTCAGTATCATTACTACAGTCTTCAGTGTCACATGATCCCTCAGAAATCATATTATGACCAATTGTTATTGTTACTCATTAAAAATCAGTCATTAAAATTTTTTTTTTTAATTTTCGGTGTTAAAAATCTTATTTTATGCTTCATTTTTGTTTTGTGGAGACGTCTTTGGAATCTTTTCTGCATATATTTATTTTATCTATTTAACTTTTACTCTTGACCAGTTTAATGATCGCTTAATTAGTAAAGTGTATACATTTCTAAAGGTTCTTTTAAATAGTACTGGGTCAGTTTCCACATATAAATATGAAGTGGCCCAACAGTGTTAAACACTAATAATAATAATAATAAATGTGGCTAAATTAGGTGGACTTAATTAATTAGGTGAATTTTAATTGGAAATTCCTTTACATTTTAAATATTTTGTAGATAAATTAATGTGTAATCATAATGTAAAGTCTTATATTTATTATTTATTATTGATAATAATAAGAAATTTACCAATTAAAAAAATTCATACAATTTAAAATAAATGAACATTTTGCTTTTTATTTGTGAATTTACTTGATGTATAATTTTATTATGAGCTATTATTATTATTATTATTATTATTATTATTGGTGCACATTAAAATTAATAATTTGTAATGATGTTTATGATCATCAATGTGGAAAACATTTCATGCTTCATTTTTGTTTTGCGGAAGCTGGGATACATTTGACTTTGTGGAACCTTTTATTTTGGAAAAAACTGTGCACGTGTGCATATTTATTTTATGTCTTTAACTTTTACTCTTGACCAGTTTAATGTGCGCTTGACTAATAAAGTTAATACATCTCTGATGGTACTTTTAAATAGTACTGGATTAGTTTCCACATATAAATACGAAGCTGTCCAACAGTTTTCAACACTAATGATAATAATAAATGTGGCGAAATTAGGTGAACTTAAATTTTGATTGTAAAGTTCCTAATATTTTAAATATTTTGTAGATAAATTAAATGTGTAATCATAAGGTAAAGTCTTTTATTTATTATTATTATTAATGATAATAATAACAATACATTTGCCAATAAAAAAATACAATTTAAAATAAATTAATATTTTGCTTTTTATTTTTGCATTTGTTTATATTAATGTATCATTTTAATATCAATTATTAATATTGGTGCACATTAAAATTAATTATTAATAAGGTTTTTTAAGATCAAGGTTGCAAACATTTCATGCTTTATTTTTGTTTTGTGGAAACTGGGATACATTTGACTTTTTTAGAACTTTTTATTTTGAAAAAAATCTTGTGTGTGCGCATATTTATTTTGTCTTGAATTTTCACTGTTGAACACTTTAATGAGCGCTTGATTGATAAAGTTAATACATTTCTTACAGTGCTTTTAAATAGTACTGGATCAGTTTCTACAAAAATATCAAGTGGCCCAACTGTTTTTTACACTAATGATAATAATAATATATGTTTATTGAGCAGCAGATCAGCATATTATAATAATTTCTGAGGGATCTTCTGACACTGAAGACTGCAGTAATGATGCTGAAAATTCTAATTTAATTACAGAAACTAATAACATTTTTGAAGCCATTTTTTATCATATTTTTAATATAATTAATTGCCTTGGTGACCAAAATAGGTTTATTATAAAAACTTTGAGAACAAAAAAAGAATCATACCAGTCCCAAACGTTTGACCAATAGTGTATATTGATCTAAACAGAGTGAGATGGTCATTGCAAGAGATTCTTCTCAATCGTCTTCAATTGAAATGCAGTCGCTTTGGGAATTTAAAGTGGTAAATGAAACGCTCACACCAGACTTTTCTTTCATGACTGAACACAAGATCGGTGCATTATTACTATTGTTATTTTTAATTCATCCTCAGAATCTAAGTGGCTTGAAGTCTTAAAACAGGGCTCCCAAGACCAACCCCCACCCTCCCAAAAAACAGTGTTGTAGTCAATACACGGATGTTTAAATGAGAGTGAATGGACCAGAGTTTCAGTGCAGAAACATCAGGGAAATCATTGATTTACGACTTGAACATGTCTGCATGTGTGCGTGTGTGTGTGTGGAAGGCATATACAGTGGCCTTTATCATTATGTCACAGACTGTGTTTGTTTTATCACGTGCCAATGCTAAATCTGTATGTTTATGTATGTGTATATACAGTTGAAGTCAGAATTATTAGCCCCCCTGAATTATTCACCGCCCTGTTTAATTTTTTCCTTAATTTCTGTTTAACGGAGAGCAGATTTTTTCAACACATTTCTAAACATAATTACTCATCTCTAATAACTGATTTATTTTTATCTTTACCATCATGACGACACATAATATTTGACTGGATATTTTTAAGACACTTCTACACAGCTTAAAGTGACATTTAAAGCTTAACTAGGTTAGTTAGGTTAACTAGGCAGGTTAGGGTAATTAGGCAAGTTATTATATAATGATGGTTTGTTCTGGAGACTATTGAAAAAAAAATTAGCCTAAAGGGGCTAATAATTTTGTCCTGAAAATGGTTTTAAAAAATTCTAAACTGCTTTAATTTTAGCCGAAATAAAACAAATAAGACTTTCTCCTGAAGAAAAAATATCAGACATACTGTAAAAATTTCCTTGCTCTGTTAAACATCATTTAATAAATAATAAAAAAAAGAAAAAAATTCAAAGGGGGCTAATAATTCTGACTTCAGCTGTATGTGTGCGCGTTTATTTACAGTCATTGCTTAATTTCAATATTTGGGAAGGTTCATCCAGAAATAAACCTTTATTTTTTGCCAATTTGCTCCAAAACACGAAAAAGAAGATATTTTGAAGAATGTTGAGGGGGAAAAACATGCATTTACTTCTATAGTAGGAAAAAAAATGTACTACAGACGTTAATAGCTGTTTTTTCAACATTAGTAAGTAAAATGATGAAAGAATTATCATTTTTTGGGTGAACTATCCCTTTAAGGAAGATTTCTGAGAGACAAACATGAATTGAGATGCATCTGTCATGACAGAAAGACTATATAGGGATATTTACATGTTTTGTGCAATGAGAAGTTGTAAGAATTACAATTAGTCTTGTATATTTTTCATTTTTTTCTGTTCCACATGCAGCACTTTCACACTGTATGTACATTTTACACAAAATTCATCACTTAATATGGGAATATTTGCATTAATGTTATAATACTAGGAATGTTTGCATTGATTGTTGATTCCAGTGCAAGTTCTCACACAGCCATACTGTAGCTCGGAATTGCAGAAGAGTATTAAATGGTTAAGTCACGTGTATGAATGCTTATACCTTCTCCTCATAAGTTTAATTAATCACGACGAATTACGTTCAAACCTGTGTACCTCTTGTTTCTCTAAGGGCTTTATGACTGATTCACTTCGACGTGTGGCATAATACAGATCAGATAGGATTATATTTATGTCTTAAGATATTTTCTATAGATTACTTGAGAAGGTGATGTTTGTTTTAAAGGTCGGGGAAAGCATTTATCGAGGACCAGAGTGATGGAACATGCTGTTGCTGTGACGAGATTTTTTTAATAGTGTCTTTTTAAATTGCTGTTTTGTATTGACTGATGAAATGTTAGTACTTGCCATTAAAATCAACCAAATTGTGACCCTTTTTGGTCTAATATTGTGTTGTGTGAATCACAGATAAAGTCTGTGGACTGAGTACACGCTAAAATTTATTGTTGTGTCCATATTAAAAGTCCCCATACTACTGAGTTCAGTGCGGACAAAGAATGAAAGAGTTTGTGCCCCTCAGTTTTTATAAAGGATTGTTCACTCAAACTGAAAATTCTTTCTGTCATTAATTATTAACACCCCCGTCGTTCCAACCTTCAGAACCCACATTTAAATATTTTAAAATATGTGACATAGCAATTGAATTATGAGAATGGCTATATCATGATGAACAGTAATAACAATAATAATTCCTTACATTTCTATAGCACTTTTCTTGGCACTCAAAGCGCTTTACACATAGGGGGAATCTTCTCATTTTTATGCAAGAAAGAACATTACAAAGATATAATATGAACAAAGAGGGTTACATAAATAGAATTCCAACAAATTAAACAAGTTTAAATGATTTACACCAAGAAAGCGTTTTAAATGCAGTGTAATTGTTAGAGTCTTTTAAAGAGTTCACATAAATTTCAAAGTCCTTTCTGAAAATAAAATGTAAGGGTGTTTCTTTGAAAATTTACATTTATGGATGTAAAATTTTGTTTAAAAAAAATCAATAAATCAATAATAAATTTACAATGAGAAGGACCTACACTCAGAGAGTAACCAAAGAATACAATTTTTGGGGAAATACAGAAGTTTGGAAATAAGAATTTTTTAATGAAATTGGAAAAGTCAATCCAAAACACTTTTTACAGTAAGTACACTCCCAAAATAAATGGTTTAGAGTTTCATCATATTGAGTACAAAATTAGCATTTAGGGGAAATATTGTTATTAAATTTAGCTAGTTTGGTATTTATTGGGTAGCAATCTCCTCATCTACCACCAGTGTAGCATCCACCTGGATGAAGCGACAGCAGCCATTTTCCACCAGACCGCACACCACAGAGAGACAAGACAGAGTAATGAAGCTAATTATGATATGGGGATGGTTAGGAGGCCATGATGATGGGCAGAGGCCAGTGGGTAAATTTGGCCAGGATGCCGGGGTTAAACCCGTACTCTTTTTCGAAGGACATTCTGGGATTTTAGGGTATATGCTGAAGCATGCTAATAGGACTTTTAATTTGCCAGTGACCTGGGTTAAGCGCTTCCGGCGAACTGTATGCCAAAGGAAAAATCTGCACGTTTTTAAGGTCTGTTTTCTTTAAAAATCAGCGATCTCCACTGGCTGACTGATATTTTATATGAAGTGGGTCTCAGATTGTACTAGAAGCACTGCATTAAATTACATTTCCCCGCCATGTCTTTATAATATGAGCATTTATTTTACCCCAGTATATATTGAATGGAGCGTCTGCGCTATCCTGCCGATTCTGACGGGCGAGTGCGAGTAAAAGGCCATTTGTCTCGTGTTACGCTTGAACAACTAAATGAATGCCAAAGTTTATTTAACTG